TTGTTAATATGAAATCATTTAACTAGATTTTCCTTCACTTAGATTATTAAGCATTCAACACTGAAATAAACTTGGAACATTAGAATAAATATGAAGAATATTTTAGAGCAATAATATAAACTTACCTCATCAACTTCTGCTACAAAATATAACCCAATCATATTAAAGACATATAGTAATAACTATATAAAGCATATTTATTTACCTTCATTTTGCAAAACCACCTTATAAAAATATAGATTAATGATCTGCTTTAGAATAGTATTTGTTAGATAAAACAAAAAACTTAAATACTAAATACCTTTGCAAACCCATATTTTTCTTCCCTCTAGGATTATGGGATGAAGAGCAAAATATTTTTCCATGATTGTCTCCTGCTTTTCTTTTTTCTCAAATTTAGTTATCACTAGCTTAAATATTTCTTGCACATCTTCTGCTTTGGGATTTGTAGTTAGCTTGCTTTTGAGAAGACATGCATCCAAAAAGCTTATAAGGCTTCCCTTGATTTCATCCACCATTGCATTCATTATCTCTCCAACACCAACAAAATATCCTCCAACTTTGGCCCCAATAAATAATAGGATCAATGTATGTTTAAGTATTGGAGCAAATTTCTTGAGCCAATTTGGTGGGAGATCCAATTCAACACCTATAGAACTCTTCACTTGATGACCTTTAGTTCCCTGAGTATAAGTTCCTCTAGGCCATTCACACAAGTAGTGAAGTTTAACATGTGTTCCCAGTATTTTACTGTAATTTTTCCACCTATTATTCTCATCAAGAATATATGGATATTTTGGGCAATCTGTCTCCAATTTCAATAATACCTGCAAACATGTTGTATGGATTGTATTCACTTTCTCCATGGTACACTTGAGTTCATTCTTGAGCTTGTTAATGCTTACTTCAATGTCATCAAGTTTCATATCCACCTTATCAAAACGATTCTTAATATATCTAAAGATTGCATCAAGTTTTAAGTCTTCAACATTTGGAAACTCGATAACATCTGATGATGCCTTGGGAATTGTGACTTCTCCAACCTCCTTATAGTCCTTCAAGAGTTCATGAAGTTCAACAAACTTATTCACCACTTCATGTTTTTGCTCATTGGGCATCAATAACTTGGCCAAAGCATTCTCATCTGAGACCTTCAAATCACTAATCACATCCCAACTCTCTACTTCATGTGAATAATTCCAAGTGTGGGAGTAGTCTAAACCTCTTTCTCTTGCTTCATATTTGACTTGCTTTAGTGGACAAATAACTGCATCCCATGATTTTGGTTTACCTACCTTATTTAGTATCCTTTTCCACACATAACCACGCCTTATCACATTTTCTTCAATTTCCAAAAATGGGCAATCCTCCATGCATACCCCAATAATGCAATTTCTAATTTTTTCCATCCATCCTTCAGCTTCTTTTTCCAAATCTGGCCTTGGTGCATTCTCTACCTCTTTTGGGTAATAGATGATGACATCAACCCATTGCCTATCTTTCCAATTATCTGTGTCTCCCCCAACTCTCACAATTGTCTCGATAAGGTTTTCTTTCAAAGCCACCCATCCATTCCCAAGCCTGATACCTTGCTTGCTTAATTTGTGAAGTTTAACTTGGATCTTTGTGAAAATACTTGCAGGAAACAATTTCAAGTCCTTGTCTTTGCATTCAAACCTCCTGCCCCAGTAGTTGTGGTTTTTTTGAGTGTCAATTGGCACTGATGGCAATAATAAATATTCTGGAGGTGAATATTCTTCTTGCAATAGTGTTGGCATTATCAACTCTTTGGGCAAGTTATGCCAATTCCCATCCCATGTATCATCCCAAGGCAATATCACTCCCATCTCATGGAGCACTCCAAGAATGTACTCCACTATTTTGTCTTGGTTCCCACATTGTTGCTTCAACTGATGTTTAACTCTGTGTGTTTCCATTTGACTTTTGAGTTTGCTTGTCTCAGTATGTATGAAGAGTTGCACCACATCCTTGATAAACCATTGGACATCTAAGATGACAAATTGAGACACAATGTCGTCCTCTTCATGTCCCAAGCCAAAGTAAATTGCATCACCAGAATCATGTAGAAATTGCAAGACGAATTTGAGAACATTCTTGGAACTGCTGTGAGGCAAGAGGATTTTGCCAACTTTATCTAGGGGTATGACCTTCTTGTGACTTGGATCTTGTACCAATTTCCTCTTTGCTTTGAGACATTCCTGTGGTATTTGTTGCTGGGCTGACAGCAGTTCTTCCAAGCAACTCCCCAACATGGTTTTTATCCCCCTTAAATCTTTCACTTGAGTGGCCACCACCTCAAAACAAAGATCTGTCCCAAACTCAAGTACTTGCCCATAGCCTTTGTCGGAGATTATTGCAGAAACCACCTCCTTTGGGTCAAAGTCGGGTTCTGGAGTGAAAAAGTTCAAGGCAATCAAGACCCTGGGCTTCCTTTTGGGTGAGGCTGATTGATGTGAAGCGATGAACCTCAGCCAGTAAACCAAATTCTGCTTGAAAACCTCACAATTGTCATCCTCCACCTTGCATACGATCAAGAAGAGATCCTTCTCACTTCCTCTGAGAAAGTACTGGTGGAAAGCATGGAACTCTTCCTGTCCAGCCAGGTCGCAAATGAGCAGCTTTTGTTTGGTGGTCGCATAGACAAGTGGTTGCAGCTCAATGCCTGCTGTTGAAGCATGCCTTTGGAGACATGATGGAAACCAAGACACTCTGCGGCAGAGGTTTTTTTTTATTGTGGTCTTTCCAACCCTGCTAGCACCACACAAGAAGAGCTTTGCTGTTGACGGGTTGCCAAAGTCTTTGAATGCACTCTGCTGGAAGATTGCATTCCGCTCTAAAAGACCAGAACACCTCTGCTTGAAAGCTTCAGAAGCTTCGGAATCACTGCCTATATCAAGCTCTTCCACGAGGCTTTGGTAGTTTTCCTCCAGGGCAGCCAGAATTTGTCTTTTCTGTGCATCACTTCTAAGAAAAGGAGCCCTGAATCTGCGCACCTTGCATTTTGGATCCCCCAGCAACTGGCAAAGCTCTTCCAGCTTTTCAATTTCTTCCTGACGTATTTCCAAGTCTTCAATGCTGCTTCCCAAAAGGCACCTCCATGGCAGTTCCGAGTGACATGACAAAGCTTTCAGAGACTTGCAGCTGGTGATAGCTTTCCAAAAGAGCTCCCCATTCGTGATTTTGCACCTCCATATACCCAAATGCTCCAGTTGGCTCTTCTCTATGCCCTTGGCAATCTCCAACGGTAACTCTCTTCCCGAGATACCACTTATTTCCAAATGGCGCAGCTTACAATGTGGGCTTGAGAGAGCTGACCACAGACTGCTGTCACAGACCATTCCTCCTCCCTCGTTGGGACAATCAAGTTCAAGGTTGAGCTTGATCAGCTTGCAATTGGGATTTTGTAGCGCTTTGCCCAACCATCCACCACCATCACCTGGATAAAGAGTAACGCTGAGTTCCTCCAAGCCACACTTAGCGCTGCTCAGGGCCTCACCCAGGCCCGTTGCATTGCTCAGGTCCTCACTCTGTCTTCGGCAATCTAAAACTGACAGGCTGGTGCCCTCCTGAAGAGCCTTGCATACCCATGGCAACACTGCAGCATCACTTTCCTCATCTAGGTGTAGTCTTCGGAGCGAACAGTTTGGACAAGTGAGTGCCTTGAAGAGTGCTTCACCTGCCCCCTCTGGAAACGATGCCCTCAGTTCTACTAGCTTATTGCAAATGCCATTCTGAAATGCCTGTTCCCACCCTTCCTTGGCAATGCCCTCATCCAGAACGATGGCTAACTCTTCCACCTTGCACTCCTGACTTGCCAGATCCCTACTCAATTTCCCAAATCCTTCCACTGTCATCCTGTTCGCCAGCAATTCGAGACGTTTCAAGTTGTTTCCTGCTTTCCTAAGGACGAGAGTCTCTGGGTTCCGAACATTGCGCAAGAAGAGGTATGTCAAGCAGTCGAGCTGAGCAAAGGCCAACTCAAGCTCCTGAGGTGGTGTGAGGATGTCTTTGCCTTCCCAATAGAAACCTAGCCCTTTGAAGACTTTGAATTCCTCTGTCATCATCAGCTTTGCAAACCTCTGCACCTCAATCTGGCCAATATCCTGTCCCTGCTGAGGAGGAGCAATGCCCTCTGCCACCCTTTGCATTCGATCACTGGGAATGCCCAACCTACAAGCGACCCTGGCAGCGAAGTGGATGAATCTGATGTCGAGCTGTGGTACCAAAGCGGCCTTGAGAATGTCAATGTGAGCAGCAGCAGCAGCAGCAGCAGCAGACGAACTGCCATCACCAGGAGCATCTCCCACATCCAGAGCCCTGTCTAAACAGGGCGGATTTGAAATGCACCAGTTGAGCACACCAATCAGATCCTCCTCTGTGCCTCCAAAACTCTCGACGGTAGCACTCACCTGATCAACAAACTCACCTTTGGATGAGTCAAGCGCCTCCAGCCTCGAGATCTGCCCACAAAAAAAATGAATCGCATTGAAGTGCCGCTTGTTGTCCCGCTTCGCTGCGAGAGCCTCCTTGATCTCCTTGACAGAGGCACAGCAGATCTCTCGTCGCTCCTCCTCCATGGAAGTTTGCCCTGGATCGAAGGGGCAGTGGAGAGCATGAACCTTGCCAGCAGTGCATATGCCAGCGGTAATGTAAGAGTTAATTTAGGAATTAAACGGAAAGGACAAGACCATAAACAAACATAAAATGATTCCATTTGGTGGATTTTATGACACGCCGAGGGAAGAAAGGTCGGCTGTTTCAGCAGTGTAAATGTTTAATATTGAATTTTTGACACAGGTACTTCAATGATCTTTAAGTGCTGGATTTAGACAATTGTAAGGTTTGTTTCTGTCCCTCATCGTTCTTCCTTGTTTTTTAACAACGAAACTGATTTTCTTTTGCAGTGGCAAAGCTTCCTGGCCTTCAGCTAGAACTGGTTTTCAGCTTGCTGTTTATTTAGATGAGATATTTGTGCGTGTTGTCCACAAGAGACGAGCCATCTTGTTTGGCGGTGTAGTTGATACTTATGATAAAGGTTTGAATGCATGTGTTGGTCATCAGAAAAACTAATGATTTTTGCCTGCACAGCGTTTTTATGAACGAGATGTATGCGTTCCAGATGGACAATCGCAGATGGTTTGTATCTCATCGATTTTTATGAGATAAAAATGATCTAAACACCATCGCTCGCAGGTATCCTTTGGAGCTTCGCAAGCCAAAGAGCCTAAAGATTAAGGTACGGCAATCCGAGATTGTGTAGTGGTCAAGTGTGCATCCAAAGCAGAAGAGCGTACCAAACCTTCCAAAGAGCGCAGCAAGAGTGATCTCTGAAAGTTATAGCTGAAAATTAAATGAATAGATTACAGTTATTCTCGGAGGCATGGTGTCCTTTTCTAGAGGCAATGCCATTGACACGAAACCGCTAGTATACAATCTCTATCTCTCGTCGTCAATGGTGATAGAATTTTGCCTTTGCTCCTCCGAAATCTTGGATTTCTTGGAGGCCGGTTCAAGGCACTCGGCGTCTGACGAGACGCTAGCTGCAGCCTCGGTTACTGTCGACTGCGGCGCTGCTGGAGCAGCCTCCTCTGGCTCCTTCTTGCACTGCTGGTTCACCTCAACCTTTTGCTGGAACTCAAACATGTTCTTCAAGTTCTTCGCTTGTGCTTCAATTTGGAGCTGTAATTGTCGTTGTAGCTGGAGAAAGAACAGGACCCGGAGTTTTGCACTGGAAAGAAGAAAGGGAAAACGTTACCTCCAGCTGTGCGTGTAGTTGCTTCTGTACTTCTATTTGCACCCTCAGTGCCCTGCCATAGCAAGCAACAGAGAAAGAAATAAGGAACAAGTACTAAAAAGAAAGAAACTTCCTCCAAGAGCTTACGCGTCAAAGTTTGGAGCAGTGTTTCTCTTCTTCTCTGGTTTTGCTGAAACACAAGCACAAACACGGGTTTAGTCATAGCATGAACTATTCATGTCCGGACGAAAGCTACCTTCGCCATAATTTGGAATGTCCTTTACGAGGCGATACTTCTGCAAACAAAAGCTTGAAGCTTTGGAATGAAAGCTCAATGCACAAAACACACCTGGAGGTGGCTTTTGACATGGAGAATGTTTATCCCCTGCACGTCCATGACTGTCAAGATAGCCTTTGGCGTCGCTTCTATCATCAAAGAAAAGAAAAAACACATCAGAGAATGGATGGATGGATGGATGTATCAAAAGGACTTACTTTCAGCGCCACCGAGCTTGCTCACAGCATCCACAAACCGCTCGTGTAGCTCCGGAGTCCATCTCAAACGCTGCTTGAGCATCGGTGAGGTGGTCAAGGCAGCAGTGCCAGCGGACGTCGATGGCTGGCTCGCAAATCCAAGAGCGTTTGGCGGCATGTCACTAGCCTCCTACACAGAACAAAGCTCTCGATCGATCACAAACAAGAGAAAACAAGGAGCTCATACCTGTGGCAGGCCACCATTCTGGCTGGGAAAGCCATTCCAGCAAGTGGCAATGATGTCGTCCTCTGGAACAAGCTCCGCCTCCGCCCAAGTCGGCCGCTCCGAGCCAAGTGGAAAATTCTCGCCCGGATTGGAAGAATCGTCCGGGAAGCTTAGCAAGGCCTCCAATTCGGCCTCTTGCTTGAGGGCGGAGAGGTGCTGGGAATTCAAAGGCAGCGACGCGGGGAGATTACCCGCGTAGGGCTCGGCCGGAATCGTCATCGGCGGCGCGAAATAGCTGGATGGAGCAGCTCTGGAAGAATTCGCGTAGGCTCCCGCGAGATGATGAGATTGCGGGAATGCATCCATAGCTCTGCGTCGAATTTCCGGTACCTTTTCTCTCGGCGCGCTACCCCGCCATCGCCATCGCCATCGCCTCCTCCCTCTAAACCCTAAAGGGAGCTAAAAAAGCTCCAATTGTCCACTGGCGCGAATCGACGGCCCAGATTCCATCAAATCGACGGATTCATATTCTACCATACAGTTAATTACCGTGGCAAAAGTTTTACGTAGCTCTCCACCAAGGACTGCTTGCGTGGAAACTAAAGTTACTTTGTGAGCTTTCTCGATCAATCGGTTCTTCGTCCACCAGGAGGATATCGATGGTTGTGTCGCCAATCCACGAAATGGACGATGCCTGGAGGCCGATCGCTAGCTTGGGAGCGCTGGATCCATGGTGAAGGATCCATCTCTCTTCTCGCTCTTCGCTCCACTGGCCATCGTCTCGAAGAACCGGATCGATCGCACGGTTTTGCCGACGAGCAATCGCAGCTGGGATGTAAATCGTGTCGCCGAGAATGGGAGCTCCTAGAGCAGCGAATTGAGCTCGAACCTGAGAGTTAAAAAGCTTGGTATGTATGTCGGAGAAGAAAAGAGAGAGCTGTATAGAACCTGGTGTGTTTTCCCGGTGAGAAGTTTTACTTCGCATTCGTAAGCGTGACCATCGTGCTCCAACTCGCAATTGCTGACACCATTCTCGCGTAGTCGTGCCTCCGACGGCCATTCTACTTGGTGGCATTGCAAGACTTCCATCGAGCACAAGTGCCATCCTTGGCGTTTGTCTGCAAAGGTGATTACTTAGTAGCAGTCCCTGGCATGGTTACTACGATACCTTGACTTAAAAGATGAGGAGCGAAATGATCCGGTCGCATGTAATGGCTCACGATTCCTAGCGGAACTGGGGAAGCCGCCAGAACAAGGTACCGTTTGTCCACCTTTCTAGTCTGTTTTTTTCCAATCTGTTAAGCTCGGAATTGAGAAAAGATAAAAGTTTTCAATCTCAGACCCGTAGCAGCCGATTGAAGTTCGAGACGAAATCCTTATCCTTGGCAAGAACGACACTACGCCAGCAGGACAAAAAAAAAACTTTTTGAGAAGAGAAAGCAATGAACTAAATAAGTTTGCAAAGCAAACCTTTACCATCCTTCAGTGCAGTTGTCAATCTGGTGCGTAACGAGCAGAGGAAACGCCATGCCAAGTGCTCGAGATGCAAAAGTGACACACGATTCCTCCAGATTATCAACACTGCCTCCAACCTGAACGAAATCATAGATTTTTCTTTCACGAATCCATTCTAGATGAGAAAAAAAAATCACATACCGACACACCAGCTGGTTTGTCCAAGACCACAAAGAGATCATTCTCGGCCAGGATCCTGGATTTCCAGTCCACTTCATAGCATCTAACCACAAAGAAGACACGAGTATAAACAAGAGAGAAAAAGCAACCAGCCAGAGTTTCTTGCCTGGGAAAACGCCGGGGATGGACGTGTACTCGCATGTAAGAGCCAGCCTCAACTTCTTCGTGCTTACTCACGATTCTTCGAGCCTTTTGTGATTCCTGGACCGACATTCCTTTCACGCGAGGCAAATCCATAGCCAGAGCTCTCTTGTAAAACTCCATATGCTCCTTTGGAGCGGTCTCGGGCGGCTCGGAGCATCGCAGCGCATGGTAGACAGCTCCAAACTCGATCAAATCATTCACATATCTACACAAACGCGAGAAAAGAATAAAGTTACTCACGCAATGATACGAAGAACAATGCTTGCTACTCACAGAGATGGCAGTGACAAAGCCTGGCAAAGGTAATCCACCACATTCCCATTCTTTTCCACGAAGAGATGCTCGATGCGCACTGGGAGATCATCGCCAGGGCAAGGGAGGAGGCGATCGTAGCAGTAGCTCTCTGGCCTGCTCCAGAAAGAGATCGATTTCAGCTATCGTTGCGCTGCCATGATGCAAAAACTCACATCGATCGATCCATACCTCGCCTTGGCGACACGGACGCGCTGCTTCTTCCAGATGAGATCGTGGCGCCGCTTCTTGAGCGGCACATCGCACAGATCCCTGGCGCGCGCGCGCAAACCTAAAAAATGGAAGCGCCATAGCGCACAAGACGAATCTATTGAGAAGAATGCCATCTCTTTTAAAAGAGCCCATAGAAAACTAAGTCCAAAGTATACACCACCAAGAACATCGATGATTCGGAAAAAAAATTCTTCGAATTTACAAACCTCTCTACTCGCTACAAACTCTCAAGAATTGCTCCGCTGCCCACGCTTCTCCAGGTTGCAACACCACCTTATCAAGCTAGACACACACGAATTCCAGAATTCCAGAGCGAAAGAAATGGATGAATCGAATCGAGCAAAAACTTACTTTGGCATTCTCGACGCAGACGAAGTTCAAGTAGGATTCCTTCAAAGTCAGGTATGGATTCCAGAGCACTGCGTCCGTCCACCTGAAGTTTGCGAGATTTGAGAGGCCAAGCTCAAGAAAAAAAAAAAGGGACTCGTAAGTTACGTACCCTTTGTTTCTGATCGAGATGGTATTGCCGAGGCCGTTTTCCAGTATCACTTCTCTCGGGGCATTCAAGTACATACAATCGTAGAATCCTGAAAACGTTATTTCGTCCCTGGAGAAGAAAACATCTTAGAGAAGTGATCAAAAACGAAAAGAATAAAGCGATATCACTACCTCTTCTCGACACCGGGTGTTGGATTCTTGGGATCGGGGTCTTTGTTCAGAGTTTTACATCCTTTCAAACCTTTGATACACACATCACCAATGGCTGCCTGGAAGTTAAACTTAGTCCTCCACAAGCCAAGCAAGTAGGATAGAAGCTTACGTGAAAGTAGTTGTGGAGAGCTGTGGTGAACGAGAACTCTTTGTTGTCGACATTTTTTACATGAATGTGTGTTTTGAGAGCTTCTGGCTCTAGTGTGACCTGAAAAGAAAGCGGGAGATCATAAGTCCCAATGCTCTAGATCAGTGGAGAAAAAGACACCTTATACTCGATTTTGAAGTCGCAGTCCCACATGTTGCGGCTGTAATCGGAGGGCTCGAGCTCCAGAGTAACGGAGGGACAGCCGGAATAGTTTTCAGTCGTCGACAATGTCCATGGAACATTTCTCGCGAAACCATGCTGTTATCGAAACGATCCATAGATAAGCGAAGTGTAAGAAAAGCATGCACACACCTGTTGCATAACACCTGGTCCAAACTGAGGAAAACAATGAGGGATCCCACCACTACAAAAGAAAAAATTCGCAAGTCATCAATCACTGCTCGAGAAGCTTGAAAACTCGTCACCTGATTGGCTTCGTTCCATCAAAGACCGCATCTGGCCTCACGAAGAGCAGCTCGTCTCCAGAAACAGTTCTCCACGAGGTGATACACGCGCCAAAAAGATAAATCTCTGCAGTGCTGGAAGAAGAAAAAAAACGAAAAAGTTGTAGAAAAAAATCCAAACGCGAGGAAAAATCACTACCTTCCTTCAGAGCTACACAGCACTACCTTCGGAAGATCGCCCAGACCACTCTCAACCTCAATGCCTTTGATTCCAAAGTGTTTGTTCATGCTTTCCACTTCCGAAAATCTAGACAAACAAAAAGGCACGCGGTCATCGGAGCTGAAAATGCAAATCTTTTCGCTGGAGCGAAAAGCAAGCCAAATCCCCAGCCACATTCTCGCGATGCGACCTCTAGAGCGAATCTTACTTGGATCGCGCAACCAGCGCATTGGCACGGCGCGCTCTCGCCGCCGATGGCACCGCAAGCGCTCTCCGCTGCCATCGATCGCCAAACCCTAGCGGGCGTAGCGCCGGCGCCGAGCACTTCGGGGCCACCCCAGCCATCGTCCTCCTCTCCAGAGTAGGGCATCTCAAGTCAAATTTCAAAGCATATTCTTCAAACATCCCTAAGCTCTAAGTGTTTCAAATGATCTTCCAATGTTTCATTGAAGATTAAAACATTATCAATTATAAGAATAAAGGATAAATTTCAACGAAGGAACTTTGCAGCAACACTTTTTGCTTCTCCAAACATGTGTGCTGCTTTTAAACAATGGATTGCCCCCATGCACGTCTCATAGTCTGGGTTATCCACCAGCAGAAACGAGAGTAGAAGACTCATAGGCACAAAACACTTATCCTTGCGCATAACTCTGAAGGGTGTGAAGAATTCCTTACAACATAAAGGATAGACCCGGTAATCACCTGATGCAACCAAGCTCTCAAAAAACTGTTGTATGTGTGATTTTTCATATCTGATCCTCAGACTCTTCATAACAATTGCAGCCTTTTCATCGTAATTTCCAAATTCCATGAGCAGCGCAACAGCATCAGGCACCCGGTGAGACGCCACTAATTCAAACACACATTCTGTGACATCCAAGTCGTCAACTTCCATGGCATTCGTTCGCTTTACTTCCTTCACCACCTTCATTGCATTGTCAAAACTCCCTTTGCAGCAATGCTTTAGCACTAACCTGTAGCACTTTGGTGTTGCTGCAACCTCACATTCATCCGCCATTGCAAGAAACAGATGAAACGACTGGGATGGAGCAGATGTTATCAACTTGTCATACAGCTCAACTGAAGGCTTGTACCCAAAAGACTTCATTTGCTGCAGTGCTTTTGTAGCCTTTTCTGTCGAAGAAGATGCCATCTCTATGATGATCTTCCCGTAGATAGTCTCCTCCGAAGTAGAATCGCCAGCCTCCACTATTAAACTCGTAGCCCTAGCCATCTGTGAGGCATCCTCTCCCACTAACCGGGCTGCAAATCTGATTGCGTTCAGCTTCAAGCCTTTTGACCGTGCCTCTCTCACAAAAGCAAGAGCCTCATCACAGCTTTTACACATGTTTAGCATGTAGTCATATAACCTTGTTGCCCCAGCCTCATCGCCTCTCATGAAAAAATCAATCTCGCCTCTCACCTCCGAGAACAAATCAAACGCCATCTCTCGTGATAAATTCCACTCCGTTCTTGCTCTCTCAAACAACCTAAGGTTGCGTTTGTACCCAAGGGCCTTCATTTGCTTTAGCACGTCCCTTGCGTCCCTTGCATACGTAGCAGAAACATCCTTCGGCAAGCTAAACAGCACCATCTCAAACGTTTGAGAATCACATCTTTTGTTGAGATTTACCAAAGCTGTCCTAAACCATCCGGATTTCACCAACTGTTGTACCACTTCCTGGCGATAATATCCCTCTGTAGCTCTGTCAATTTTAAGGAGATCCTCAGGCGCCAGATACTCCATCACCAATAACAAAGCCATCTTCATAGTAGGGTAAATAATCTCTACTATCAAAAGTTTATAAAAGTTTATTTATAATCTTAAGCAATGCTATGGAAAAGTTTCTTGGCGATCCAACTGCTTTGCCTCTGCCTCTAAGCCCAGCTCCACAAAGGACATGAGGAAATAGACGTAGAGGAGCGCTCCAACCAAGAGCAGCCCCACGAATGAGCACACCATCCAAAACACGATCCACTTTGGAGTGATCTGGATGCTCGAAGTGGTCGTCACCAGGAAGTAGATCTCGTTGGACCTCTGAAGAACAGTCCCCGAGGTGGCCAACTCGGGCTCCGTCTGGATATCTCCGATGCTCTTGTAGAGAGCAAACATACTCCACATTGCAGCTGTGCAAATCACCACTCCCCGGATCCCTGTTCGAAAGAAGTGCATCCCAATCCTCCGCTTCACCCAGTCCTTGAAGTCCGCGGCCCAGTCGAGCACCATGTCTTCCACGTCCTGGAGCTTCTTGCTCAGCATCCCGGCGACGGTGAGGAGCAGTGCCAGCAGCGTCGTCACAATCTCGATCGAGACGTCCGACCTCTTGGACGAGCCTTTCTTCCACTCCCGCTCTCCAACCCGTTTCACGTCCGCCACTCGAGCAAAGGCTTGGAGGTTCTTGAGCAGCAGCTCCGCTTCTTGCTTGGTCTTCACCTCGTCCAGCCCCAGCAGGCAAGTCTCGCGATCGATCTGGCCACGCTCGATCCCGCAGTGCACGTCGTCCGTGACTTCCACTGGCACTTTGGCTTCCAGAGTGTCTAGAATCGCTCCCTCGAGGATCCGCTGCTGGTACTTCTCGAAGACGCTGGCGCTCTTCTTAATCGCCTCGAGAACAACTTCGCCTGGTCTCGAGCAGAAGCTCAAGAGAGCAGCGCCGTCTTGAGCACCCGGCTTGGTTTCCCGCTGCTGCAGCCACCCGTGGACACAGTCATCCACACGCTTCTGTGCCTCGAGCTTCTCCGACACGTTGAAAGTCACGTTGATCCCCAAGTGTAGATCCCACCGGGAGCTGTACGAGAAGTAGACGATCGAGACGAGGACATCGGCTATTCTCGGTTCTCCCCAGAAAGAGTTGCTATCCTCGCAGCGGCTGGAGTTGAGCTTCACGCGCAGATCTTCGTCCGAAGTCGAGCTGCCGGTGATGTTTAGTCCCACGAAGCAAACCGAGCCATTGCAGGCACACTGGTGGCTCGGGAACGCAAGGTACGAGATGATGTCCGGCGTGTAGACGATCGGTGTGGACTTCTTGCATGGCTTGCCGGAGTAAATGTACTGCCAGTAGCGTCCCTTGTCGACCCGGTCGTTGATCATCAGGCACTGGCTTGTTCTCGCGTTCCCAGCAAAGTTGCTCAGGTAGCTTCCATGCTTGGCATAAGGATTTCTCTCCTGGTACGGGTTGGCCGAGGCTCTTCGAAACGGGACCGCGGACATGAGCAGTGCAAACTCGCCTTCTTTTCCAGTCCAGACGATTGGAGTCGTCCACAGGCAAGAATTCTGCAGAGGATCGGTGGTGGTGAAGCAGATTCGGACACTCATCCCCCAGTTGATGACCATAGTCCATATCCAGCTGCTGCTTTTCCGAGCTATGACCCCTCCCAAAACGTGTGGATCCGGCGAGTTGTAGAAGAAGCTGGTGTTGTGCCGTGTCATATTCCCGGCAACTCGCCATACACTCGCTCGCTGGTAACCGAGAGTAGCACGCTCGATCGGAAGGTCTTTGAAAGCAGATGGTAGCGAGGTGCTGGCGATCCATTTGTAGAACGGGTCATAAGTGGTCGCAAAGAAGTTTGTTTCCCAGCAAGTAGAGCCTTCTTCCTGGATCAGATCGCTGTAAAACTCTGGCGCGAGGCTCTGAGCTCCAAAGAAGCGTATTTTGCCGAAAATCATCACGGCTACTGCTGCACAGAGCGCGCCGACCATCACGAGAGCCGCCACTATTTTATCCTTTCGTGACAGCCACGTCCGAAGATTTGTTGCTTGCCTTTTCATGTTGTCATTGGAAGCCATCTTCGAGTAGCGGTGTTGATCGCCTGAGGGTCAATAAGCTAGGGACAAAAGGAGAAATATGAGGACAAGACAAAAGCAAGTGAGAAACTAGTCTTACTTTGTGAGAAGCCTCGAGAAGTGAGAGTTTTCTGGCTGGTTCAGAGTGTACACTGCAAAACAGATGCGAGAAGGAAAGTGAGATCGAGAGTTCTGTAAGAGATGAGTTTTATAGCACCTTAGGAAGAACCACTGCAGCAAGGGAGCATTATTGCTAGTCATCTTCGAAAACGTGGCTATAGCTCCCTTGCATGGAAACCATAGCTGTATAAAACTCTAGCTTTGAGAACCACAGAGATGCAAAGTACCTGTAGCATTTTGGAAAATCATGGCAGTAAGATCATCCAGGGCCGCGAAGCTTACTTCTTTTAAGAAATTAACGACAAGGGCCATGTCGCCTTCGAATTTCCACTCACGAGTGAGTACCTGGGACATTTTTTGACAATCCATCCAGCCTATGGATGAAGGGACCTTCTACACTGGAGACCTGGCATCCACTACCAAACCATCAATGTCAGGTATTGATCATCCAAGAGAAGAGAACACCAAAAACTCGCCTGGAATTGTTCCACAAGAGCCAGAACCAGGATTGTAGGCGAGTTCCTGACTTCCTGTTCATAGAGGCACCAAGCCAGGGGTTTTTTCTTATAGCAATGCGCTTACCTCTCTAGAAAGCTCCATGAGACAAGCCACGAAAATGTATGCCCTCCATTTGATGATGCTAGTCGCAAGAAACATGGGAGGATTTTGTAGCGCGCCTTGATAATCCAAACCACGAGCCTGCGCTGCCAAATCGATCATCTTTTCCCTCCTGCGAAGAGATCATCTAGAGTAAGAACCCTAGAACACGAAAGCGGGAAAATGAAAACCCCGATACTGCCAGGATTCGAACCCACGAAATCTAATACTCAGTAAATTTTTAATTCTGGCATATTCGCAAGATATGCGCTAGGGTTTTTGGAGAGGTTTATGGCCGCGGCATTGCTGCGCCGAGCTCGTCCCTTTGCTTCGCCGCTCTCGCAATGCCACTCCCAGCAGCAATCTCGCGGCCTCAAGTATCATCTCAAGCCCTCCGCGCAGAAGATCGCGGACGAAGAGGCCGCCTCCATTGCGACGATCTTGACGACTCCAGGAGTAACATCTGCGGATAGGTTTGCTACATTTCCTTCTGCTGTTCACACGACGCGTAGCACATATTTTCTCTAGGTAAAGCTTTCAAATTTTCCTCTTTGTTCTTCCAGGCCGGGCACTGGATATAAGCGCTTGCTTCCTTGCCCTTCTACACAACTTGGCCCACGAATCGAGCATCTCTTGGTCAAGAAAAAAGGAACCGTGCTGAGTATCGTCAGCGAAGTTCTCAAGCTTCCATCAGAGTAAGCATCGAAAACTTTCCCGGTTTGTTTCTTCGAAAGGAACTTGGCTTGAAAGCTTGGGTGGTTTGCGTAGATATGTGGCCGATTTGATGTCCTTTGGCGCTGTCCATCACGCATTGCGCTGTCCCAAGCCTCCGCTCAACCTCACTCCTCAGCAAGTCCAGCTCTTCAAGAAAGCTTCGCCGAAGAAATGGCCGGTTCTTGACAGAGTTTCTTTGGTGGAAGCACGAAAGCCTGAAAGGGTGACGGATCCAAATCACTATGCCGAGCCCGGATCGTACATTCGTGTCCACGTCCATCCCAAGCGGTTCCCGAGGTTCCATCAGAGTTGTTCTACTGAGTTGTCAGAGTTTTCTTTCTCCCGTTTTTCCAGATGCTATGAAGTTGACTGGAGATCAAGGATCATTGCCAACGAAGAGTCTTTTGTGGTGCTAAACAAGCCAGCGGGTGTGTCGGTACGTTTGTTCTCGAGTTTTTATCAGCCGTGCTCATGCTTTTGATGCACAGGTCGGTGGAAGCGTGGATAACGTCGAGGAGATTTGCTCGACTTTTGCTACACGAGCCTTGAATCTTGAGCAGCCGCTTGTGACGACGCATCAGCTGGACAATTGCACGGAAGGCTGGTAATTTTTTTCGACAGTGATACCATTTGTCCTGATATTCTTGTGTGCTTTCTTCCTCAAGCCTGCTACTCGCAAAGAACAATGAGTTTGCCTCACGCTTCCACAGGCTTCTCAAGGTCGGCTTTATAAAACTCGCAGTAGCTAAAGCAAGGCACTAACTTCGAAAAGCTATGCATTCATCAGGAAAATAAAGTGGAGAAGTTTTATCTGGCGCTGGCAGCAGCTCCAGTTCCTCTCGGAAAAACTGCTCACTACATGCGATCTGATAAGTACCCGCCGCGTATCATGAGCAACAGTAAGCAAAAAGTTCTCTTTTCTAGTCTTTGTCATGGCTTTGCTTTTCTCTAACTTTTATTCGCCGTAGACGAACGCTTGGGATGGCAGTTGTGCGTGATGCACGTCCTCGAATGCAAGCAGGTTCCGTGGCCATCAGAAGCCGCGCTGTCCGAGTATCAGGTACAGCCTTGCGGGTGGACAAAGTCCAAGTTTGCGTACGAATGTAGAGTGAAGCTGCTCACGGGTCTAACACATCAGGTGACAATAATATTTTTCGTGGTCATTGCTTACGTGTGAAACAATTTTTTTCCTCCAGCTCCGTGCACAATTTTCAGCTTTGGGATCTCCACTGATAGGGGATTCTCTCTACATGCCAGCAGCGGCAGCGCGGCTGGAAAACCCCGAGCTAGATCCATTTCTAGACACAAGGAAGAAGGAGATAGCCGATGAAGAAGCGGGGATTGAGAAATCTCCGGCCGAGTCCAAGCAGCTCGAGAAGAAGTGGATCTCTCTACATGGTTCTGAGCCGCTGCTGGGAATAGGCCTCCAGTCCTGTGAAATCGGCTGGAAAGACGAAGGAGAAGTGTTGAGGTTTCGAGCTGGGAAGCCATGGTGGAGAACCGAAGAACACCAGGAAGAAGCAGCTACAGTGCCTTGTGAAAGCTAGCTACTTTGGCACTTCTTACAGCTATAGGGGGTGTTTACCGGCAGGATCAACTCTCTGGAAGTCTAGCTCTTCGCAGATCATCTTTCCAGGCACAGGGATTTACCAGGGACAAGATTAGAGTGGTGATAGATAGCTCAACGCTGAGTAGAGATTCTGGGGCCGGGAAAAAAAAGGTAGAAGATATGGTGCTCTGAAACGGATCGGCTATAAAGAATCTCGAGCTCATCCGGAAGAACGTGGCATGTTTTGTCTGCCGAGTTTGATTTTGCTGGTGGTAAGTAAGTCGTTGGTAAGCAATGACTGGTAGCAGCTCTCAAATCATGTTGATTTAATCTTTCTCTTTCGCTCACCAGTTTTTCGTGTAGATTCTAGAAAGATTTGGCTAGTTCCCCACTTGTCTGGAGAAAGTCTCTACACTTGTGCTGTTTAAAGAAAGAGTTTTTCGCCTCGAGGAAGAACAGTATTTTCGCCTTTTGCAGTGATGGGCCTTTTTTCTCGGCTGCGACACAGGCATCATCACCACGAGGTATGATTGATCGTTTAAATAGAAATGCTGTTCCACGTTTCTAAGTTCTTGTTCTCCAGGAAGAAGAAGAATACTCAGCAGGAAAAGACCATGTTTCCAATGAGCAAGAGCTCATTGTCGAGCAGCAGGAGCAGCAGCAGCAGCATCAGGAGAGGAAGCCGGAGAATGAAATGCTGTTGCCACTGGAAGAGCCAATTGAGCCCCCAGAAAACATCCTCCCGATCAAGTGTCCGCATCCAGAGCCGTGCATCGTTCATGTAAGTTCTTCCTCTCTAAGTCTTGTTCTTGGCTTAGAACTTCCATCGACTGGATCGGAGAGAGCTCACAGCGATGGCCATTTTGCCTTTGTCGGTGTAGGATGGAAGGATCTGGAAGGAGCGAATCGCCGCAAAACGCTCGAGCAGCGTTGGAGCAAACACAAATGGAAGAACGCATCACTCTCGAGCTGGAAGCATGCGTCTAGAACTTCTTCCGCGCAACCATGTTGGTGTCCAGGCCGCGCACACTCCCGCATCGCCCACGGTGATAACTTCGTACAGCGCTCCAGAGAAAGCGTTAATAACGATGCTGGATTAATTACCATAGTGGGATTTTGGCTAGTGCTAAATAAACACGGGTTAATCCTAGGGCGGGTTTTACAGGGGTTTAGGGCTCTTGGGAGGAAATGTAGATCGTCCTGGGCGGGCGATGGAAGCGGGGGCGATCCTTCGAGCGCCTGGCGTGGATTTGAGCCGCCAGGGAGTCGATAGATCCACGGCGGCACTGCCTAACAGAGGTATGCTCGGAAATTTCGATTCTTTGCGCGAGATTTCAAGAAATGCGCGTGGCTGGAGTGTAGGATCTCTCGCGTGTCCCAGGGCGCGGAGCTGGCGACCGAGCGCTGTGTCGAGCGAGACTACTGGGAATATCGATTCCAGAGCGCAGCCACGGCCGCAATGCTTAGAACACAATCGCGATGGTAATGACAAGAAAATCACAAGGGGAGTTTATGCCCAAGAACTGGAAGTGGCTGCTCGAGCTGTGCAGCTGGGTTGTATGCTCGCGCAGCGTGTCCAGGAGAGAATTCTCCGGAAAGAAGAGAATGCCGGTTCCAAGGACGATAAATCGCTCGTGACAGTCGCAGGTAATCCATTGCGCGAAAAATTCTTCTCGTTTGAGCTCATTCTCTCTGGCTGTTCTTGCTTGTTCTAGACTGGGGAGTCCAAGCAGTCGTTAGCTGGGTGCTCTCCCAAGCTTTTGGAGAGGAGGTATCGATCATAGCCGAGGAAGACACGAAAGGCCTGAAAGGAATGAATGGAATCCAGACGCTCCAGCGGGTCGTAGCAGTGGTGAATGAGTGCCTGTCCCAAGCCTCGGTGGTCGGTCTCACTCCTCCATCGCGCAAGCTCGGGACGATCGAGGTGCTCCGAGCTATCAACAAAGGAAACTCGGAAGTTCGCTCCAGCAGGAGCTGGGTCTTGGATCCCGTGGATGGAACTCTTGGATTCGTGCGTGGGGATCAGTATGCCATTGCTCTGGGGATGATCGAAGATGGAAGAGTTGTCCTGGGAGTTCTCGGCTGCCCGAATTATCCGATGAGACCGCAGTGGCTGAACTATCATCAGAAGTACTACCGACTTGCCAGTAAGATCGCACCACCACCACCGGGAAAATGGCACAAAGGCTGTGTTCTTACCTCTGCAAAAGGAGCTGGACAGGCATGGATGGAGCCCCTGGTTTGGAACTCGGATGGCTCTTTCTTGCTGAATCCTCCCCGAGTGGTAGCAGTCTCTCCGGTGGATGATCCAGCGCAAGCTACTTTCTGCGAGCCTGTCGAGAAGGCCAACTCAAGCCATTCATTCACGGAAGGAGTTGCTGACAGCCTTGGCCTGAGGTACGCGAAAGTCTTTCTCTGCGAGCGGCAAAAACTAACTTTTGTCTCCCTGGCAGGAAACGTCCGTTACGGGTCTACAGTATGGCGAAGTATGCAGCAATTGCTCGTGGCGACGCGGAGATCTTCATGAAATTCGCAAGAGCGGGTTACAAGGAGAAGATCTGGGATCACGCTGCCGGAGTGTTGATAGTGGAGGAAGCCGGGGGAGTGGTAACTGACGCTGGCGGTCGGCCTCTAGATTTTTCAAAGGGACGGTATGTAGAAGGGCTGGACAGGGGGATCATCGTGAGCTGCGGGACGGGCCTACACAGGAGAATTATCTCAGCAGTGGACGCGAGCTGGAATTCGTCCAAGCTGTGACAGACAAGAAAGCGGTCTATGGAAACACGCGTCTTTAGATGATGAAGAAAATGGAAGAACACTTGGCCCTATGAGGAGAAGACACGCTGCCTTCGGAGGTTCGTGACAGAGATGCATAAGTTGTGTTTGTCCTCGAGGAATCGTCACTGATTTCTGGTTTCCAATGGAGGAGCAGGAAAACCATCAGCAGCAGCAGCAGCAGCAGCCGCGAAGGGGATCAAACGCTGTCAAAGCAGCCGTGGTCGAAGAAATTGCTCAAAGCGTAGTCTCGCTCTTCACGGCCGTTCAAGAGCTGGATTCCAAGAGCGAGGAGAGTGGTGGTAGTGGAGCCGCTAGCTCAAAATGCCAGGAGGAGGAGAGTCGGGCTCCAGGCCGCGAGAGCGAGAGCTCGAGATCAAACTGCCAGGAACAGAATGGAGCTGCAAAGAGCGATGTTCCTGGAGATCAGCGTGGTGTAAGTTAATTGTCAGGAGTTTCTGATGTGAATAGGAAAACTCTACTCACCTCCTCGAAAGCTTTTGTCATTGTAACTGCTTGAAACGAAGGCAGTCGTCCGCAGCTGTGTGGAAGAGCTCCCTCATTAGTTTGAGCTCTTCTTCTGTGTTTTTCAATCAAACACGCAGGAAAAAAAAAAAAAAGAAGACGAGGTTTTGTGTCTAGTTTGTTTAGCTGAGAGAAATATCAATAGTGAACCTGCAAGATCCAGCTCCAGCTGTAGCTCTTTCCCAATCTCCTCGTTTTCTGCCTGCTCAATAGGAGATCTTACTTTGTTTTTGCTATCAATGAAGAAAACAACAGAGTACCTGGAGCTCCGCAATTCGCTTGAGCTGTGCCTCTTCACCACCTTCAGCTATTGGCAAGGCAGCCACAAGCGCATCAAACTGAGAAAAAGCGCCAGCAAAGAAAAAAAAAATGAGCAAGAACGAAAGAAAAAAGAATCGAGAAATCCAAACCTGTTTTGCGGCCTGGACGAGAGTCGATGCCATTTCCGGGGCTTGTTCTTGCTGCTGTTGTGGCTGCTGTGATTGCTGTGCTTGCTGCTGCTGCTGCTGCTGCTGGCCGGGCAGAGGAGGCGCGCCAGGAGCTAGTGCCTGTGGATCCGGGTAGTTTTGCGAGAGGCGGACCGGCGCTGCATCGCGCTGCAAGGATCCGACGCTGTTGAAGGCGAGGAAGGCGATCTTGTTCACCTGGTCCTGGAGTTGCGTGATGATGTCCATGACCATGAGCCCTAACACTCAAGAACCCTAAAATGTCCATATATTAATCTCCATATTATCACCTTTAAGAACACAAGCTAATTATAATTAGGGATTGTGGAAAAGGGATAAAGGTGGCCATTTTCTGCATGCCACTTCTATAAAGATGGAATATTGGAAAGGAGTATACAAAGTAAGAATCATTTCTTTTCTCATCCACATTGCACCTAATGGATGTCATACAAATGCACACAAATGGATGTCATACAAAATCTAGCACTTTCATATTTCACCTTTTCTTTCAAGAGTGACAGCTTTCCCACAATCTTAGGTGTAACAAAGAGTAAGAGCATACATTGACTAGGGTTTGAGTGAGAGCTCTTTGTGTGTAGGTAACCATGTGTCTTATTCTTTTGTGTGTTATCTAGGCACAACATAGGCACTTGAAGAGCAAGAATAAGCATTGATCAAGTCATTGCACACCACAGTATAACTCTTGTTCTTTTGTGTTTTGGTGTGTTGTGCTATCCTTGTATGACATGGGCATATTTTGAGTTGACTTACATCAGATTGTTGGTTGGGCTTTTTATTTCTTACTCAGATACATTGAAGTAAGTAGAGTTATTATACTATAATGCCTTCATGTGAGGAAGTGCAATGCAAGGAGATGAAGGATATGCCTTCATATGAAGAAGTGTAATGCAAAAAATGATGGAAGAGTCTTCATGTAAAATGGTAATAAAAGATCACCAATGAAAAAGCTCCACATGAAATGGTGGAAGCTCCAACCACATGATATAATATGGAGGCTCTAATAGTAGAGGTGGAAGCCAAATCAGACTGATGGACACAAGCTTGAGCAATATATGGCAACACATAAAAATGGGGATGCATGTTTGTTTGTCTACATCCATATGAGAGTTGTGGCTTCTTCCCGTGGGCCATATAACCTCGTGACATCACACACATCATACAACCTAGGGTGGAAGCTTGTATTTTTGCGTTGATTATGACTTATTTGCATGGAGAGATACTCTTCACTAGTGAAAACCTTGTTTATATTTCTAATGTTAATATATAAATCATAATTTTACCCCTTAAAGGCATTTGTTGTTACTTGCTAATAGCACTATAAGTGGATGGCAAAACACCCATGCAAGAAAAAAAAACCTTGGCTAACAATCTGATGTAGTGCTCTGATTGCAAATCCATACTAAATGCAATAAAAACGCCCATATAGCACAGGAATTAAAACAACAGCCTACTTGCAAAGAGATCTCACTCATGGATTTTTGTTCACAACAAAATCTAACAAAGGGAATCTTGTCATATTATAATTCAATTATAAACCACACATTTATACAGTGCTTAAACCTGAGATGATGATGATGATGATGATGATGTGGCATCAAAGTGGCAAGATGAACATGCATGCTCATACATAAAAAAAATATTCTCAAATGATTTCATAAGTTTACACACACCCGTGCCTTTTACAGAAATCTTTTTCATACTTTTACCTGAAAAGACATGTGTTTCACCAATCCTGCTGTACCTGTACCTGGTGCCATATGGTGTTAACTGCTAACAACAAATTAATTGCCATAGATCACCCAAATATATCATCCAATATACACCATAAACTCAAATGAGAAACTCTCTAGATTGCAATTGATAATGGTAATATGAGCAAACTCTCTATTAGCCGATCCAACAGAGCTACTATTCACATCGCCCAACTATTTGATCATGTCCTCATCCTACACTTGTTTTCCCTCAAATACCCAGCATGTAAGGTTCTCAAATAAAGTGAATATATTGCATGAAGGACACCCTCACACCCACAGACACTCACACATTCACTCGTACAAGCAATTGGAGGCACCAAAGAATGTCCCAAGTTCACATCCTGGCGATGCCATTTCCAGGACAAGGCCACATCTCTCCAATGCTCAATCTCGTCAAACACTTGATCTCGCGCTCCACAAGCGTTGTGGTGACCATTGTCAACATTGATAGCATCCACCGCAAGCTCCACGCAGCAACACAAACTTCTCCATCTCCATCTCCATCCTTCGATCAACTTCGCTTCGTTTCCATCCCCTTCCACTGGTCCATCCCGCACGGCTTCGATGCGTACTGCATGCAAAACATGGTGTCCTTCATGGAGGCCGCCGAGAGCATGAACGTCGAACTCGAAAAGCTCCTCCGCGAGCTCCACCCCAGCTCCAACTTTTGCTGCCTCATCTCCGACTACTTCCTCCCCTGGACGCAGCGAGTCGCCGACAAGTTTGGAATCCCCAGAGTGGCGCTCTGGTGTGGCTGCGCTGCCTGGTCCTCGCTCGAGTTCCACATCCAAGACATGGTCTCCAGGAACCACGTTCCAGGTGATCGATCACTCGCGATTCATTTTCCGGAACTTCTAAGCTTTTTCTCGTCCTGTTTCCCTGCAGTCTTAGAGCTCGACCAAGCCTCCTTCCTCGTCGACTATATCCCCGGCCTCCCTCCACTTCACCCGGCTGACATTCCCACGTATCTCCACACGGCCAGCGAGCGATGGATCCAGATGATTGTCGAGAGAGCCCCGTTGATACGTCAAGCTGCCTGGGTCCTCGTCGACTCTTTCAGCGAGCTCGAGCCTCAGGTCTTTGAGGCGATGCAGCAGCGTCTCGGCCACAAGTTCGTGTCGGTCGGACCGCTCTCCCTGCTCCACAGCTCCAGCTCCACCATAGCTTTGCGACCGGCAGACGAGCAGTGCCTCGAGTGGCTGGACGGCCAGGCTCCAGCTTCCGTAGTGTACATTTCTTTCGGAAGTAATGCCGTACTGTCCGTGGATCAGTTTGAGGAGCTCGCCGAGGCGTTGGAAGCCATGAAGCAGCCGTTCCTGTGGGTGATCCGTCCAGAGCTCGTCACGGCCGCTCGTCCGGATGTTCTTCCACGATTGGACGAGAGCGGCGTCGAGCAGAGGAAAGCAGCGTTCCTGAAGAGAACCAGAAACTTCGGCTTCGTCACTGCCTGGTCGCCGCAGCTCAAAGTTCTCTCGCATGCTGCCGTAGGATGCTTCGTCACCCACTGCGGTTGGAACTCCATCCAGGAGAGCATAGCCAGCGGAGTTCCAATGGTCGGATGGCCTTGGGCTGCCGAGCAGAACTTAAACTGCAAGCTCATGGCCGAGGACTGGAAGCTCGGTCTCCGTTTTCATCAAGTCACCGACACCGACATCGACACCACCGCTGCTGTTAATGCCGCCAAGAGAGGCGGCGTGATAAAATCTGTCCAGATCCAGAAGATCATACGGGAGATCATGGAAGATCACGAAGTTGCAGCCGAGCTTCGGGCAAAAGCCAAGCAGATGAAAGACGTCGCCAGAGCTGCTGTCGCGAACGGTGGCTCGTCCTTCCAGAACTTATCTCGTTTCTGTGAAGAACTCGCGGCCACGTCGTTCTGAATCAAATGTCAACTCTAAGATGTTGTCCTAGCACTTTTTCTGCCTATAGCTGCTGTAACTCTTCCTCCTCCTGGTCGCTGTCTCTCCAGATGCTTGATAGCAACACATAAGGTGAGGAAGGCCCGACCGGATCCCCGCCTTCCATGACTTTTCTTGCGATTCGAGCTCCTCCTCTGAGACTTCCCTGTGTCTTGCATCCATGAAGCAAGCTCGCCAGCTCCAAGCCACTGGCTTCAAACGGCATGCTGCTCATCAATTCTTCTGCGTCGGTCAGCCTCCCTGCTCGGCCCAGAAGATTGATCAGACACCGAAAGTGACCTGCCACCGGAGCCATGAAAAAATCACCGGTGATAGAGACAAAGCACTGCCTTGCGTACCCGAGCAATCCAGAGTGGCTGCAAGCCGACAGAACGCTCATGAAGGTGAGTTCGGACGGACTTGTTCCATCTAGCTTCATATCCTGGAACAGAACCAAGGCCTCCTCAGGGACTCCATTTTGAGCGTACGCTGTTATCAAAGCGTTCCACGTGATGCTGTCCCGGAGGCCCATGCTGTCGAAAACTTTCCTGGAATCCTCAAGGGCCCCGCACTGTCCATACATGTGGATCAAAGCGTTGTCAAGCTCGAGTACCAATGGAGCCTTGAAGTTCACGCGGATGCCCTCGTGAAGCAGCCTTCCCTGTCTCAGCGCCGGGATGCAAGCGCACGCATCCACCATGCTGACGAAAGTAACTTCGTTCGGTAGCAGGCCCTCCAGATCCATGTAAATCCCCAGCTCGAGAGCTTCTTTCCCACAGTCGTTCTGAGCATAAGCAGCAACCATGGCCGACCATGTCACCACGTTCTTGTGAGGAACGCTGTCGAAAATCTGCTTTGCATCGTTAACGCTGCCACACTTTCCATACATGTTGACGAGCGCGCTTGCCACCTTAACATCGTTGTGGCATCCTGATGCGACTGCTTTGGAGTGGATATATCTCCCGTCTTCCAGAGCGGAAGAGCTCGCACATACCTCCAAAATGCTGGTAAACGTCACGGGGCCGGGCCCAACTCCTTCCAGATCCATGAAGCGAAACACCAGCAGAGCTTGCTTACGGGATCCATTCTGAGCGTATGCTGCAACCATGGCATTCCAGGAGATCAGGTTCTTCTCGAAAATCTCGCAAAAGGCTATCCGAGCACTTACCAGGCAGTGGCATCTGCCATACATGGTGACCAGCGCTGTTCCAACTTTCACGTCGTCTTCAAGGATCGTCCCTGAAACTGCCTGATGAATCACCCGACCGTGTGCGAGTTCAGTACAAGCATCCAACGTACTCAGAACTGCAATGCCATCGACCTGGACACCCTCCAAGTCCATCGCTTTAAACACGTCCAGAGCTTCACCGTTGCAACCATTGCTGGCATAGGCAGCCACCATCGTGGTCCAGGAAACCAGATCTCTTTGCGGCATTTTGTCGAACAGCTCCCTTGCCTGTAGAACATACCCATTGTGGGCAAACGCCGCGAACATTATCGTCCACGTGAAGAGATTCTTCCGCTCGATGCTCTCGAAAGCCGCGACAGCATCATCCAAGCTCTGGCACTTGCCATACATTTGCACCAGCAAGTTTCCCAAAAACCTGTCCCCGCGGAAATGAGAGCGTGGACCTTTTTCCCGGGAAATGAGAGCGTGGACCTTTTTCCCCTGCTCCAAGGCCCTGTTGTCACCACACTGCCGTAGAAAGCTAGCGTAAGTGTCGTAGGAGCAGCTTCTGCCGGATCTGTCGAGCTCGTCGACAGCGGTGCTTACTTGACGATCGTCCAGGCAAACGTGCTTGTCATCCTTACTCAAGCTCAAAAGAGCAGCGGCTTGCCCGGGTCTACATCTTTCCCTTCTTAAAGCATGGATCATATGGACACGTTTACCACTTAGCCAAGCGAACTTAAGATATCGAGAGGAGACTTACTTGTTTCGCTGTCAATTTTGAGCAAGCTGTCAAAGGACGATTAGCTTTTTCTTTGCAGAAAGCAAACGAAAATTACTCACCAGTCTCTAGCCGAGATCCACCGGAGCGGGCTCGCTGCCACAGCTATAGACCTGCCTTATATCGTGCAGTAAGTGATGCTTCCTCCTCCTCAAGAGCGAATTTCTCAATGTTGGATTCGCCACCTCGCTTGCAATGGCTGGATCCCCGGTCACGAACACAATCTCCTTGAAATATCTATCCACGATGAAGCAGTAGTCGAGGTCCGGCCAGCCAGCCCTGGACAGCGCTGGATACTCGTTATCAAACTCCGGACATGACTCCGGCCAAGGGAGTACCTTCCAGCCCCTGGAATTCACCACAACCACGTCCTCCTTCCTGGCCTTCAATCCCTTTCTCCTCGGAACCATCCAGTCTCTCACGTAGAGCTTCCCACCTTCGAGGCACTTCCTCGTCCATTTTCCCAGCTCGCTCTCCGGATCGTCAAACTCGTTGTTGAGATTCATGTAAGCTCGAAAGTCACAGCAGTAGACCAGCCTCCTCTCGTCCGGCTTGTGGAGCTTAAACCACGCATGTTTCCTGTCCCAGGGACGTTCTTCCGCGTCGGGTAGACGCTCCCAGAATTTCTTCTCCACTGGAAACTCGTCACACCAATCTGGAATGCTGTGAGGCAGTTTCTCGATCGCGACCTCGAAGCTGGGCTGGAAGAGCATCACATCCTTCCTCAAATCCATCCCAAAGTGCTCGTTGATCGACATCTCTGCCGGCTTCCCCTCACACTCGTAAACCTGTCGTAGCTGTGGAAGATCAAAGACTCTCTCGTTGGAGAAGCAACTCTCCTCGAAATATTTGAGGAGCCTCATCCAGATCTCGGGCAAGACCACAGCCTCTCGGATCAAAACCCGCGATCCCGTCACGAACAGGCCTTGCCGCTCCACGAAATCTTCTTTCATGCCACGCGCTTGGATCAAATCCGCCAGCCCGACGTCCAGCTCCTCTGGAGTGCTCTCGAATCCCAGATATTTCCTGGTCACGCGACGTACCTCGTACTGCGATGGACGCACCGAGCACGGCAGCCAGCCCTGTTCTTGATCCATTTCCTCGGCCGTGGTGTAGATCCTGCCCTGTTCTAGCCGCTCCTCCACCCAGCGGAAGAGCGGATGCCTCTCGGATGGGATTTCCTGGAACTTCTTGTACGCTGCGGTGTCCCAGATGTAGAAGAACTGTGATTCCGGCCGTGGACGCTGCGCCGCCTCAACCCTGGCCTCGATCAGCGTGCGATGCAAATGCACGAGCAATTCCTCGTCCGTGACCTCCACCGGGAATGATGTGCGCACGACACCGTAGTAATCGAATGGATCGAGGGACCTGTTCCACTTCGCGAGATTGCGGAGCTTGGCAAGAGCGCGCTTTGGGCTCATCAAGAACCCTAAACCCCCAACGGGCAACAAGAAATATCTGAGATTCAACGGTCACGATTGATTGTATCCTGGGCGCCTGTTCAACGGCCATGATCGTTCTTCTCGAGTATAAAGCAAAGGATAGGGCAAGGGTTTGCCACAATTTGTGGGCGGTGGTTGCGTTTCTTGGTGAGTGGCTATGGCTATGGCGGTGATGATTTCCTGCTAGAAATTTCCGGTCGGTGTGCGAGGGTTTCGTGATTGCCTTGCTGGATCTGATCTTTTCTTTCGATTTCTACGTTTCTCACGGCTTTTTGCGACTGTAGGCTTATTTCGGCAGCAACGATGCAGATCTTTGTGAAAACCCTCACCGGCAAGACGATCACCCTCGAGGTGGAGAGCTCGGACACCATCGACAATGTTAAGACGAAGATTCAGGACAAGGAAGGAATTCCTCCGGACCAGCAGCGTCTCATCTTCGCTGGTAAGCAGCTAGAGGACGGCAGGACCTTAGCGGACTACAACATCCAGAAGGAGTCGACCCTCCATCTCGTCCTGAGGCTGCGCGGCGGGATGCAAATCTTCGTGAAGACCCTCACCGGCAAGACCATCACTCTGGAGGTGGAGAGCTCGGACACTATTGACAACGTCAAGACGAAGATCCAGGACAAGGAAGGAATTCCTCCGGACCAGCAGCGACTTATTTTCGCTGGTAAGCAGCTCGAGGATGGACGCACCTTGGCGGACTACAACATCCAGAAGGAGTCGACCCTCCACCTTGTGCTTCGTCTTCGTGGAGGGATGCAGATCTTTGTCAAGACACTCACAGGGAAGACGATCACTCTGGAGGTGGAGAGCTCGGACACTATTGACAACGTGAAGACTAAGATCCAGGACAAGGAGGGGATTCCACCGGACCAGCAGCGACTTATCTTCGCCGGGAAGCAGCTCGAGGATGGCCGGACATTAGCCGACTACAACATCCAGAAGGAATCGACGCTTCATCTTGTTTTGCGGCTCCGTGGAGGCATGCAGATCTTCGTTAAGACCTTGACAGGCAAGACGATCACTCTGGAGGTGGAGAGCTCGGACACGATCGACAATGTCAAGACCAAGATCCAGGACAAGGAAGGCATTCCTCCGGACCAGCAGCGTCTCATATTTGCCGGGAAGCAGCTCGAGGATGGGCGTACTCTGGCAGATTATAACATCCAGAAAGAGTCGACCCTCCATCTCGTCCTTCGTCTCCGTGGTGGCCAAGCCTAAACACTCTCTCCCATGTCATTTCAAATAACCTCTCTTCCATTCTAATAAAAACCTCGCCGCTTTCTCTCATCGGTTTCTCTCATCGGCACCACCCTCTGGATCATGGTTTGTTGTAGTCGTGACCATAGAGACCAGCTATGGAGTCATGGTGTTCCACCTGTACGATTCGAGGGCCGCGGCGTGGATATCTTCTACGGAACTCACCCCTGTCCAGGAGGATGAAGACCTCGTATGCGGTGTCAGAATGAATTGCATCAACTATTCCAACAACTGCATGCTGCTCCAGAACGATCACTTGTACTTTTTAACTGTTTCACCGGGCAATGTGAGAAGGCTTAAATCGTTCAACGTGTGGAACCCTAAGGCCACCCTTCGAACTCTGGCAACCTGGAATAATCTTCCCTTGGGATTTGAACGGCAACCTTGGTACGAGGTGGACATGTCCCTCATCTCAAGTGGAGGTAAGGAAAAAGAGTTGTTTTGTATATGCTGACGACTTTGATTTTGCAGGGAAGATAGTGATTGGCATGCTCGAAACACATGACAGAAACACAGAAGTTAGAACCCTCAGGGTTTGTTTTGTGTATCTGGACGAGGAGAGTTGCAGCTGGCGGGCAATGGCATCCTTGAGCTTGGGCACTGTTAAAATTCCCGAGTTGATAAAAAAACCCGGAAGAATCTTTATGGTGGCTGCTGGAAATGAACACACTACGGAGGTGACACTGCTCTTTCATTATAGGTGGAGCTGCATCTTTGATTTGGCTTCTGGAACGTTGCGTAGCAGTAGAATTTCAAAGAAACAAATGCCGGCTTTTGTTCGATTTATAATGATCTTCACCCGTCAATTTGTATCTAGCATTATTACCTAGTTAATAATTTGCTGCGTAACGCTTTGTTTGCTTAAATTATGAATTTAATTAATCAAATAAAAATATATAATTATAAATATGTATATAATTTAGATGGTAGAATAATTAGAATATACTAGGAGGATAGACATATTTACAAATTATAAATATAAAATTATTCACTTAAAAGTTAAAATTTTTAAATGTTAAACTTATTGAGCACTCTACAGTGTTGAAAAGCAACCAAGAGTGCAATGTCTCTGGGAAAATGCGAGTAAAAATCACTACCTTCCTCCACCTATGATTCCAAGGTGTTTGTGCTCATGCTTTCCAGTTAAATCTAGACAGAGAGAAAAACACGGTCGGCTATGGAGTTCCTGTGACACAGCAGCCCCATAGTGAAGTTGCAATTGCAAGGTACCTCAAACGTAGCGGAAAATCCGCTTCACAGCTTGGCAATGTGCAAGTCCGGGGTGCTCGAGGAACTGGGAGACCATCCCAACAGCATAGGCGAGATCTGGTCACGTTCCCAGCATCAAATAAACAATACTCCCCACAGCTTTACGATATGGCACCGTGGCCATGTACTCTCGTTCTTCCTCTGTGACAGGGGCCATGTCACGGCTGAGTTTGTGATTGACCTCAAGAGGTGTGGCCACGGGAGAGCGGTCCAGCATATTGAAGCGTTCCAAGATCTCCCTTGCATAGTGAGCTTGTGTCAAGCTCAAGGTGCGTGCTCCTCGATTGCGTATAATTTGGATGCCAAGGAAATGGCGAAGCTCGCCCGGGTCAGACATCTCAAATTCTTCACTCAGCTTCTTTTTCATCTCGTCCAGCAGGTGGCGGGTTTTTGCACCGAGAATGCAGTCGTCAACGTACACAGCAACCAGGAGAAAATCGTCACCACACTTGTACAGGTACACGTTTCCTTCCACTGCAAGAGGAACACACCCCAGGCTCTTGAAGACAGAAGTGGTTTCTGGCAGAGGTGTAGCTAGAGGGCGTGGTGGCAGTGCTGGAGGAACCACCACGTTACCACCAGCAGAAGCAAGAGGCAGCAACGGGACTTGAGAAGGAGCTGTAGTCATGTGAACTGTGTCCACCAGCTGGAGTTCCATGAAAGTAGGAGCAGAAACTTCTGCGTGATCCTTGTACAGCTTGCTCTCATCAAAGAGCACATCCCGTCTTCCCAGCAAAGTCTTGCGCTTGAGAGAATAAAGGCGATATCCTTTCATGCCTTCCAAATATCCCAGGAATTCAATGCTGAATAAATAGAGAGCAATAAAAAACATAAAACATACCTCTCAAAGTAGCAGTGTAATATACATGGTATCCTGGAATCTCCTTAGCTTTGTGAGCCTTCATCATCTTCTCATCCACCAAACATCTATGGTGGGTAGAGCAAAAGCAGCCGTCCTTGTGGTAAACCACACCAGCCAAGGGGTGGTGTATTCTTTCATCTGCAAAATGCTGCACTGTTGTCCTAACTGCCATACCTTTGTATGGCCGGATGCCATTTGGAAAAAATTCGGCGAGAAAAGCCATTGCTTCGAGCACGTGAACATTGTTCTCTTGGGATCTGTGGTCTATATACCACTCCTTGTATCAATCGTCAAAATTGAAAGCCTTTACTATAGTAGCTGTAAGCAGCTGTGAGAGACGAAAAATGAACTGGCGGCACATTGCAACCAACAAGTGAAGTGCACAATACTGGTTGCAATATGCGGCCAGTTCGTACCACAAGGCTTCTGAATCAAGAGCAGTAAGTGATGAAGGTACGCCTATCTTGGGGACGGAGATGCTTGATATCTCCATCTTCAACCCTGGGCGTATGCTTCTCGGATTGCGCCAAGTCCAAGAGCTCCTCGCGCGTGAGAGTGTAAAGCCATAGATCCAGATGAACCCTAGATAATTAGGTTCCATGGCTCGTCGAGTTGCATCTTTCTGGGCGCCAGGGAAGGGTGGTGATGATGGTGAGTCGGAGATTGTCTCTGATCCAGGGCTGGAGCTGTTTCCATCGGCTAAAGGTTCAGCGGTTAAAGTGGATAGAGGAGATGGATGATTCAAAGACCTGGGTCCTCGTTCACAGCGACAATGGCACAGACGATTGCACATTAGCATGGAGCCCGTGTGATGCGTCTCATGATCCCGGAGCAGTTAATTGGAAGCCATGGGCTACGCTTGGCCCCTTCCTGCCACGAAATGGGTCCATTCTCTTTGCTGCTCGACAGATATCATGATCAGCTCTACGTTACGAAGGAAGCCACGGTTGCTTTCTCTACGTCTCCTCCACCGGGAGCTGGCAGCCTCTGTTAGATGTTGGAGGGGAAAAAGACGTCGAGCTTGAGTTAATGGACGCTCAAGAGGTGAGGGAGATTGGAAATACGTACATTCCATCCGTCTAGTACAACCCCAAGAATCGATCATACAAGCGCTTGCCGGCGGCGCCAGATAATGTTCGTCCTAAGGGTGTCCACTGGCACGAGGGCAGCTTCTACATGATGTCTTGCATACCTTTTGAAGAGTTTCAGGTCTTCAGCTGGCAGGGTGGAAGAAGGGTGGCAAAAGGTTGCTGCACATCCCATATACCAGGATGGGGTTGACAGAGTAGGTGGTGACTTGTTTTGGTTTACGGCAGGTGGTCGCTACGCTTGCATATCTCAGGGGAATATGAGCTATCCGGATGTAGACTCTGGTCGCTTCATTGTGGTCTACGACTTGGAGGAGAGGCAGTGGCATTACCACACCATGCATGCTGATTCTGGATTTGGTATTCCAAATGTTGTTGTGTGCAACCGCGCTCCAGAGCTTGGTGATTTGGAGGCTACCACCTTCAATGCAGTTTGGGCTGAAGATCGTGTACTTCTGCAGCTACCGCCCATTTCTTCTGCATGACTTTTGATGCAATAGCATGTTAATGCTTGTTGTTTAAATTGAAATCCAACTCACGAAAGTGCACTGAGCACGGTGTTTATTTTGTCACAGGCCTCGAGAGCATGGCTAAGGAAATACATCCATGGTCTTCCTAGTCACAGCTCAATGACAGCTAACGAGAAAGCGTCGCACGGGCATGAAGCAGATGTGGATGAACTTCGGGCATACATGAGTTTTTCTCCTGAATGCCACATTTACTGTAGATGTGGATGATCAAGTTTGAGAGGCGAGTGACATGTTCAAGTTTGTCTGTCAGATCTTGTCTATTGGACGGTGCAGCACAAGACCATCAAGAGTCGAGACCGGTGTTTGATCCAGTATGAGGAGATCCGGGAGAGGGAAAGGAGATCAAGAAGATTTTCCTTGACATGGCTGTGCTGGTGGAAGCTCATTGAGATATGATCACATGGCGGCCAACTACGTCGACAGGGAACTCGCAGCCATTATGCCAGAGGAGCTCCCGGAAGTGCGCGCTCATTGCGATCATCCTGCTGCTGCTGGTGCTCATGGTTACGACTCACCATTCTTCCTCGCGTGATAACGAGAAAGATCCACCGACTTTGAGACCTCCAGCGTACATTCTTGGACCCTGTCCCTGACTACGAAGATGGAAGAAACGTTTTACGAGTGAAGTCGATCGAGAACCGCAAGCAACAAGAGCTTTTAGTTCAAAGAACCGAAGTGTATATATATTCTCATACCGGAGGGGCCTGTGCTGCGACTTCCACAGCGTAAATCCGGGCCCATCGGTCGGATGCGAGGATAACATCCAGGCTTGGCTCCTTGACAAAACTCACTCGTGCGTTTTGCAAGTCTTCTCGATCAATCTGATGATGTCGAAATAACCAATCATGAGAAAAGAATCCTTGGAAACCAACTATTTTGCTTACTTCTCGTCTAGGAAGAGCTCCACTGCTTTCTCGTTGGCCGCACTCATGACTCCTGTCATGGTTCCTCCCATTCTTCCAGCTGTGTAGGATATGTCCATGGATGGATCCTTTGCTCGGTCGGGAGCTTTGAACGTTAGCAATCCAGTCCTGTTTCAAAGCTCCGGTGTGAATAAATGTTTCCAAACGACAAGGTGATAAAATCTGAAGCTTACTTGACAAAATCAAGCCTTGGCCAGGTGATTTCTGAGCATGGAATCCTATCCGGCCGTGTAACGAATAGGTAGTCGCATGTCAGGGCGCCCCAATTGCACCAGAATGGAGGAATCCTGTATTTAATAGTTGTGTGTTGACGCAGCATTCAACTAATATTACCTGTGTCTTGATTATGGAGGGTATAATCGATTGGGGATGGATAACAATGTCAATGTCATCATAGTCAGCTCCAAACAAATAGTGAGCTTCAATGACCTCAAGTCCCTGCCAGCAGAAGATGTTAGTTCAGCAGACAAAATATCAGCTTATAAAAATGTTTTTTATACCTTGTTCATCAAGGTTGCCGAATCCACTGTAATTTTCTTTCCCATACTCCAGTTTGGATGCTTCAGCGCATCTGCTGGTTTGACGTCCTTGAGCCTTTCCACTGGCCAGTCCCTGATTTTTAAAGAGAAGTTCAGTTTGGATTGGTAAAGTATAACGAACCTGAACGCTCCACCAGATGCTGTGAGAGAAATCCTACGCATTCCGCCCTCTGGAAGCCCCTGAATGCACTGAAATACGCATGGTTGAATGTTAGAAACAAGCACTGTTGGAGGAAAGAAAATACATCACCTGGAAAATTGCGGAATGTTCTGAGTCCGCAGGTAGGATGTTGATTCCGTGTTTCTTTGCAAGAGGTAGAACATATGGACCGCCGGCTATGAGAGTTTCCTTGTTGGCTAGAGCAATATCCTTTCCAGCTGCTATTGCTGCTACTGTAGGCTGCAAAGAATATTATTGTACATGCCTAAGTGCTTGATGTACGCTTACCTTGAGGCCAGCACAACCAACGATTCCTGCCACAACTTCTACTGCCTCTGGATGACACGCTATCTGAAGGGCAAAAAAAGCAAACACAAGAGAAAAAAAAGAAAGAGAAAGAACAACTGAGAAAATCGAAGTACCTGTACAATTCCTTCGTCCCAACGACAATCTCTGGCTTTTCGTCAAGATCAGCAATGGCTTCTTTCAATTCTGTCTCGAATCCCAACCATGCTTGGTTTGAATCTCCTGACCTGTTGATTGGCAGTGTAAGCTCGTATAAAACAGATACGACGGCTGACCAATTCGTAGTTTACCTGATCAGCAACAAGTGTAACGTTTGAGCCAGCAGCCAGGCCAACAACTTCGAATCTGTCGGGGTTTTCCAAGACGATGTCAAGTGTCTGGCACAACACCACGTTAGCATCCTCATCGCTTGCATAGAAAACGAAGGAAAACAGGGATTCTAACCTGTGTGCCGATGGAGCCCGTGGATCCAAGAAGTGAAATGGGCTTTGGTCCATCCCAGGATTTTTTCCTAGCTCCATCCACCATTGCTCTGCCTGGCCAAGCTGAGGGAGGATCATTTGACGAGCAGCGTATCTTAGAGGAACCAGCATTTCTTGGGTACTCCTGCGTACTGGAGGAGGTACCACATTGAGCGCCTGCAAACATGCAAAGCTAGAACGAATGAGCACTGTCGCTGTCGAAAACGTGTCTCACACACCTGTTACTGCCAATTTCCTTCCTGTGAAACACGACCTGGAGCTCGAGCTCAGCTCCTAGAAAGAAATTTCCACATCCATGAGAAATCCCAGCTCCAGAAAAGCATTTGCTAAAGACAGCCTCCAAAGCCATCGGCAGCTCCCAGAAATCGCTAGACGCGCGGTCAATCGCTCGAAATATCGCAGCCTTTGCAACGACAAACCAAGAGCCCTAAACTTCCTTATCGCCGGAAGGGAGCACTACTGCTGCGTGGCTGACATCCTGGGAAGAGTTGGGAAGTTAACGGAGGCTCACGAGTTGCTGAATTCGGTGCCTCTCAGGCCTGGAGCTATCGGCTGGATATCCTTCGTTGGAGCTTGCATCACACACTCGGATGGCATTAGCTCCGGAGTCGAGGGAGCGGAGAATGTTTTGGAGACGACTCACTCCAAAAGTCTGGGGAAGCACTTGCCTTACGTGATGCTGGCGAACGTTTTGAAGGAAACACCAACCTATGCTTTTTGCTTAATTCTTTTTGTTCTTTGGCAGGGATGGATTACGGTTCTTCTTCATAAGACAATCAAGGCGCTCTACAACTCCTTTCACCACTGTTATGGTGAATAGGATTTACTTTTTACAATTGATGCAATCTTGAAAGTCCAGTCCTTGCCCTTTATGATCCATTTTATATCTTAATACTAAGAAAAAAAAAAAAAAATGTTATACAAAAAAATATATCATTTACCTCGAGATCACAAAATGATACGAAAGGCCACTCCTGCGCATTCCACCACATAGAACCCAATTTGTAGAATCTAGCTTGTGATGATAAGAGCAGTAAGTAATGAAGGTATGCCTATCTTGGGGACAGAGGTGTTTGATATTTCCATCTTCAACCCTGTATGCCAATCAATACCAAGCAGCTTCTCAGATAGCGCCAAGTCCAAGAGCTCCTCAGTGTAAGCCATAGATCCTAGATAATTAGGTTGGGGTCTTTAGGGATTTCAGGACCATGGTTACACTCGCCCGTTGAATAGTCGTGGCATCTTTCTGGGTGCCATAGAAGGGTGGTGATGATGGGTTGGAGATTGTCTCTGATCCAGGGCTGGAGCTGTTTCCATCAACTAAAGGTTTAGTAGTTAAAAGGACATTACATGGGAAACTAAGGAATTTATGAGGAAGGGGAGAATTGAGTTAGAGATATATAATTAATTATATATGGCCCACAGAAAAATTCAAAAATAAAAAAAGGTGAAAAATAAGAGCGCCAATAAGAAAATTAACAAGAATCTATCATAATAAGGAGGAGTTGCCGAACTTTTTAGGCCGCCAGATCCAGCCAATCGCAACTGTCTGTCCAATGGAGGGTGTGTTAGTGAATAATTGCACTGATGTTTGCTCCTGGCCAATGGGAGGTGGCCAAATTGCATGTGGCAGGAGAGGAAGGCCTGGTGACACATGTTGCATGCAAATGTGTTGACTATGGCTGCATCTATCTAGGCATCATGATTGCTCAAGCAGCAGCAGCAGCTCAAGGCCACGAGGAAGATCTGGTGACTGGAGCAGGATCGGTCAGGTGATAGTGTGCCAGTTTGGAAGGTGACAGTGTGCCAGTTTGGAAGAGTTCTAGACGTGGTGACCAGGTATCTTTCTCTCTTTTTCTTTTTAACCATTTTGGTGATGAATGCAAGGGCATTTTGCACTCCTCCAGGTACTAGGCTCGGGCCGGCAGCAACATTGCTCGAACAAGAGGGCTGTAGAAAGATCAGGGATCAAGCAGCCAAAGAAAAACTATAACCAGGTTATACTTCTCAAAATCATCTCCAGCTTTTTAGGAAGCAATGCAGAGAGCCCATCATCAAGAAATCCATCGAGAACAAGGAATTTTTGCTAGGAAACCATTTGAACTGGAGAACACAGCTAGGAAAGCAGCCATGCTTTTTCGGCAAAGTCCCAAACCTGGTGAAAGTATGAGATCCTTCATTTCTTTGTCATCATGAAGAAATCAACTCAAGAAATCCATCCCTTTCGACTCAGATTTTCCCTTCACCTGTGTGCCTGGCCTGATCCTATGCTGCTGGTGCTGCTGCTGCTGCTGGAGTGCTTGATGCTCTCGAAAATCTAGCATAGACTACAAGGAAACTTTTGTCACCGGAGATCTCTTGGCAACTAGAGGGGGATTGAAATCCATGGCACTCTTGTGGTCAATCCATAGCTGCTGATCATGATTTCCATGCCTTAGATCAGCTTAGCACTTGGAGAGATGAAATTTCATTGCTTACACTGTACTGCAAGAGCTCCACTATGATTGACCACTGCTTACTGATTTTCATTTAATTTTCATAGCCAAGCTTTCTTACTGTCACTCTGTAGTGGCATTAGAGATTCTTGAGCTATGGCAACCAATTTAACACCGCTACTGCTGTAGCTAAGGCAGCAACAAACTTCGATGCCTTGCGATGCCGATTGCCCAAAAGGGTTAAATCCAATCCGTCACACTTTTTTAGCTCTTGTTTCACATAACCCTAAATCTCATGATTAGGTTTTGGGCTTGAGGGCATTGCCAAGAATCACAACAACTCAACATAAAATAAATTTTTCTTCTTAGTTTGTAGCACACCCTTTTTTAGCAAGCAATTGAAAGACCCTAGATAGGCACACAGAACCAAGCACACAACAACTTCGTGTTTGTTTATATCTTAGCCTCCACCACATACTAAACACTGTTACATATTTCTCTTGCAAATTCGAGTTTGTTTACAAACACAAACTTGTATAAGCTATAGTTTTCTAGCTTTGTACTTGAAAATTTCAAATTATGCTTTGCCTTTGTCATTTTCTTATAACTATAAGAAAAGCCAATAATTTTGATAAGAATTTCGATACCAACAATTCTGATAAACATCAGATCAAAATGAAATACATATATATCAAGCAATATCCACTACACCATCACCACCTTCACAAATGACACTAGCAAGTCACACTATTTACAAAGATTCAAAAATTTCAACTTTTGAAATTAGTCTTTTATCATCTACTTGTGTTTTTTGTAATGCATCACATTTTAAAGATGAGAACATTGTTATATGTTGTTAACATGGTCAAGTGATATTGCCACCTGTATTACCTTTGCCAAATACTTTACTTATGCTTTACAAGTAAAACAAAAACTCTAATTTTAGAACTAATATTAGACACTATAATAGTGCCTTTGCATTTGCATCAATGGCTGCTAACACTAACACTTTAAGGGGTAATGGTCCTTAATTAAAAAATTAATTATGAAACAACATTTTCATTTAATGGATATTCAGATTATTATAGACCAAACAATAAATGTACAGTTTTTAAAAATGGTTGTCATATGGATTGTACCTTATAACAAGTACTTTCATAAAAAATATAAATCTCATATAAATATTGAAATATGTGCAACTATAAAACATATTAAATATTTATTTCAATATGTTTACAAAGGCTATGATTGAAATCCATTCAATAACTCAACAATATGATAATAGTTTAAACTGAGGTGAAATTTCAAATTTTCTAAATACCTATTATATTTCTACTCTATATGTTATATGGAGACTTTTTCAATTTAAAATGCATAACTGTTCAACACTTTTAGCTTGTCTTCCTGTTCATTTAGAGAATTTTTGAAATGTCTATTTCATTGAAGGTAATGAGCAAATTGAACTTCAAAGAGCTGCTCAAAATGGTATTATATTAACAAAATGGTTTGAATTAAATAGATATGATATAAATGCAAGGCAGTATATGTATCTTGAAATTCCTCTACATTATATATTTAAAAAACGCACTTACCAGTGGCAAATTAGATATCAACAAAATGTTATCTCACTTGTGTATTCTGTTTCCCCATCTACTATTGAACTTTATCATTTACGTTTTATATTGTTTTATAAAAGAGGGGCTACTTCTTTTAATGATCTAAAAATAAGTCATAATACTTATTTCAAAACATTTCAATTGACTACATCTGCTATGGGACTTTTAGCAGACGATACAAAATGGGAAAAATGTTTAGAAGATGTTTGCTCTTTCAAAATGCCACCATAATTAAGACAATAGTTTACTTTTTTATGTGTCTTTTGTAGTCCAAAAAATTCTTATTCCTTATGGGAAACATTCAAAAACTCTTATTTTGAAGATTTTGTGCTAATAGATCCATTAGTTTGTTATGAGCGTGCTTTATATGATATAAATAGGAAATTCAATCTATATGGAAAATCCAATCAAGACTATAAATTGTCTTTATGTTTTACAAATTTTGATACAGATAATCATATTAATTTGACACAATTCATTCATTCTGTAGAACAAAATTTACTTCAATTTAATGATGAACAATAGATTATATACAATGATATCCTCAGCATGATTAACAACCCAATCGAGAAAAATTGATATATTTTCATCAATGGTCTTGGTGGTATTAGTAAAACTTTTCTCCTTAACACTTATGTCAACTTTTAAATAAAATGTAATTAGTATGGCCTAAATAGGTATTGCAAACACTTTATTGCATAATGGTTAGACATTGTATATAACTTTTAAACTTCTTGTTCCAATAAATAAAACTTCTACTTTTGCTATTATAGTTAATAGTGAGGTAGGCCAGAAAATTAAAAACGCACATGTGTTAATATGGGATGAAATTAGTATGGTTCACAATGTGCATTTTTTGCCATTAATTTAGCATTACAAGATATTAAAAAAATGATTTACTTTTTGGAAGAATTATTATTATTACAAGCGGTGACTTTAGACAAACACTACCAATTATTCCACATAGTCATCAAGTACAAATTGTTTCAAATTCAGAAAAATGAATAGGTTATGAAAATGTTTTAGAACACTTCCACTAAAAAAGAATATGAGACTAATTGAAAACAATTCTATATGGGCTGATTGGCTTCTTCAAATTGGAAATGGTAATAATTACATGAATTTACCCAATTTTTCAGAATCTATTATATTACTTTACACACAAGTAATAATGTCTTCTATTGTTGATTTTGTTTTTCCATCTTTACAAGATATTTCAGACCCCTATGTTGCATTTAATAGAGTCATACTCACCCTACTTAATGATGATATTTATCCCATTAATAATGCTATAATCTCTTCTTTATCTGGTAACATACATACTTAGAAAGTGTTGACTTTGTTGATATTGATTTTTTTATTGAATTCCTAAATTCTATTACTCCTTTTGGTCTTCCACTACATAAACTCTTGCTTAAAGAAGGTATTATCCTTATTCTATTAAAAGAAGCCCACATTCTCACAATCAGATCTCACTTGGATCGGCCTTCCTAAAGTAACGTGCTGGACAAAGTGAGGGACATATTGCCATTCTCGATATAGCCCCCGAATTCACTCAAAAGCCTGTTCTTAGTCCCTTATCTGCTCCAACTTTGCTTGGCGACTCCTCAGGGATTTGCTGATACAGGTGCCTGACTATGAAGAGTGCGGTGTCTAGATCGTGCCAGTAGTTCCTGTGAGAAGAAGCCAATGCTTATAAGCAAATCAAGGAAGAACAACAAGGAGTTTACGTGTGTCACTGTTATGTACTGGTGCTGAGTGTTGAATCCTTTGATCCACGGGAGAACTTTGTCAATGACGTAATAGCAAAGAGTAGAACTTACCTGTAGCATGAAGTCAACTCTACCGTCGGGACTTCCAGACAGCCTTTCTGCTACCATATCATCCTAGCTTCTCTCCTCTTTAGTGGGATTCCCCTGCAAGAACTGCATAACTCCAAGGACACAAGAAGCATACATTTTCATCCCGACCTTAGAAACTCACTTGTCACGCAAAAGCTCAATCAGTGGAAGCCTCTCTGCATATTCTTTCCACCATAAAGCGACTAGCTCCTCTTCTCTCTGGCAAAAGAAGAAGAAAGGATCAAAGCTGAAAGCACTAGAATCGACCGGGAATACAAAAGATTGACATACATTGTCCACTCTTGCAAGAGTTAATTAGAAGCAACATTCCTGGGACGGAACCATTTTAGACAAGCTTTCAGGAAGTTGGGAAATGCATTGACCTGCATGGATAGAGGAAGCATCTCAGATGCAATCTCAACTATCTGTACTTGACCTGCAATTTGTATGAGTAGTGATATTTCCCAGGTAACATACTCACTTACGTCGTTGCTGAAGAGGTCAGCATTGGTGCTCAAAAGGATTTCTTGAAGGCTAGATAAGAAGACTGGATCACGTCATTGTATTCATGGCATAGCGCATCACCACCATTACGATTTTTCTGTCCTAGAAATGAACTGGGTACATGAGGATCAAAAGGAAAAGGAATGAGAGAGGTAAAGAAACAAAGACTTACTTCAAAAGGACTTTGCGATCGATCAGCTGGAGCTTCTCACTCCCTCCCTATGACATCCAGCAGCGGCTCCATGCTCTTGCATGTAGGTACAGCGGCGAGGAGTGTTGTGATGTGGGTGGAAAGAACGCTCATGAGCTCGTTCCGACATGACTTATGACCACGTGGACATGCCACTTCAGCTGACATCTAGACACTCCCATTCTGGCTCGATCAGCTGAGAGGATGGACTACCCCTCCCACGCAGCCCAAACAAGAGGAGAGCAGACTCCCAGTGCAGCGCGATGGCTTTCAAAGGAGTCTCGAGCCAAAGCCTTCGTGAGTATATCAGCCACCATTGCCTCGGTGGGGCAATATTCCAGCGACAACTTTCCATTTTGGACTTGTTCCCACACGTAGTGGAAACGAATCTCGATGTGTTCCGAGAATGGAAGCGAGGATTGGCGGCCAGTGCAAGAGCTATCCGGCCGGTGCAAGCAGGAATCTCTGGGTCAACCAAGCGGTTAGGGCAACGTACTCTGCCTCTCTCGACCACCAGCGGCTGGCGCTTACTGCTCCAGGACACAGCAGCCCCATGGAGCAAGAATGCATACCCGGAGGTGGAGCGCCTTGAGTCCTGGTCGCCCGCCCAGTCCGCATCCGAGAACCCATGAAGTTCCTGTCGCCATAGTGAAGTGCAAATGCAAGGTACCTTGAACGTAGCGGAAAATCCGCTTCACAGCTTGCCAATGTGCAGGTCCAGGGTTCTCGAGGAACTGGGAAACCATCCCAACAGCATAGACGAGATCTGGTCGCGTTCCCAGCATCAAAAAATGGATGGCTCAGCCTTTGACTCCAGCTTTCGGCGTTGCTTGTGCGCCTAGGCAACACAGCCAAAAATGCGGAGGTGATCGTAACCAGGTGCATGACCAATCCAAAGCTTATAAGGAGGCAGGGCACGTATCGGCAACCGGTTTAGAACATAAACAGCCGTCTTAACTGCCTCACCCCAGAAAGCAGCTGGCGTTCCCTCATGAAGCAGCATACAGCGCGCAGCTTCTATAATGGTGCAATTCACCCTCTCGGCAGCACATTCTAGGCATGTGCATCATGGACAGCAAACTGGCACTGGATCCCAGCTTCAACACAAAACGTCTTGAATTCTCCAGAGACGAATTCTCCTCCATGATTGCAGTGGATCATATGAACTAAACAGCTGTAAAGATTTTCTACCAAAGCCTTGTTATGGCAGAAGCAGGAGAACACCTTTGACTTGTGAACACAATCAGGTACCTTGTGTAATCATCAGGAAGGTGAGTACGTAACGTTTGCCTCCAACCATAATCAAACAAACTTCGGAGTGTACTAACTCAAGAACAGAACTTGCTCGAGAATGAGAGTCGAGAATGAGTCACCTTCCTAGATGATTACACGTGGTACCTGAACGTGTACCTGCTGGCTCACAAGTCAGAGGTGTTCTTCTGCTTCTGCCAATACAAGGCTTTGGTAGAAAATCTTCATGGTTTTTTGATTCATGTGCTCTGTTGTGATCATGAAGGAGAATTCGTCTTTGGAGAATTTGAGACGTTTTGTGCTAAAGCAGGAATCCAGCACTAGTTTGCTGTCCCTGATGCACATGCCCAGAATGGTGTTGCCGAGAGGGTGAATCGCACCATCACAGAAGCTGCGCACTGTATGCTGCTAGGAATGCCGGCTGCTTTCTGGAGTGAGCAGTTAACATGGCTGTTTATGTTCGAAACCGGTCACCGACACGTGCCCTGCCTGGGAAGACCACTCCTTATGAGCTTTGGACTGATCACACAACTGGTTACGATCATCTCCACATTTTTGGCTGTTTTGCCTACACACACGCCCTTGAAGTAAGTGTTCATCAGCTCTTCAGGTCTCACTGGAGGAGCTTTGGGCAGAGGCATAGCTGGAGGGCGTGGAAACTTGCTATGCAGGAAAGCAGTGTAGGATCGTCCCCAGAACATTTGGGCAAGAATGCATACCAAATTTAATAATCCAATACCATGTTGTGATGTGAAAAGGGGTGGACACAACACTCACGAGCTCGTTCATTGTGTTCGACTCTTTTTACAGGACTCAAGGGACATGACTCATGACCACGTGGACATGCCACGTCTCGGGAGAATCCAGGCTGTGCTGAAGACTGGGCCCAGTTCAATCGATCGAAATAGATATCGATTTCTTTGACTCCATCTGTGAGCTCTTCGCACTCTGAAAAAGAAAAATTTAGCTGGGCCTTGCCAACATTGTGACCTTGCCAATATATTTCTTTATTCTAGCCAGATATCCGGCCAACAGATTCCCGTGCAAAACAATCATTAGTAGCTTCTTAACGTATCTCTAATTTTCACATGAATTGCGGGCGGGCATGGCGCGGAATGTTCCCTGCTCACGGACAGAGTAATTTCCGTACAGAAGTTGCTCATCAAGGCACCCAATTTCTTGCGAAGTGTTCTTAGGAAGAGCTCCAAGTTTCCTAACAATAACAAGGAAAAAGATCATCATCGAGCATTTACTCTCTTGCAAAAACTCCAGGGTTGCATTGTCAGCACAGGTCAGTACCCTAGATTCAGGCATTGAAGAGAAGTACTCAATCACTGGGCAGCTGTTTGTGATCTCCAATCTGTCAAATTTCTAGAAAACACTCTTAAACTCCAGCAACTCTTGCAACTTCGCAGCTGATTGGATCAAAGCTCATCTTGCCGAGAAATCCGGGCTGAGTTCTCTGAGCGTTTAATGGTGTGCTCCCCGAGACAAAAGCCGACAAAAGTAACCTTCCTGCCGCAAGGAAAACACTGTGACAACATTGGAGCGAGACAAATCCATTCCTCAAGTACTTCCAAGCGAAGCAAAATCTCTAGATAATGCTTGTAGTCTCGAGTCTCAATCCCTCTCATTCTCATGCTGCATGCGCTTGTAGTGCTCTTGAGCTTTTCCATTCCAGAAACTCTCATGAGTTAAAACAAAAAGTTTTAGTACTTTCGTTATTTAATGAGTCGCTGGGATTCGAGCCTTGACCAAAGGATATGCTGCACCGATTCCTTGCCCTATCCCACATGCCGGGGCGTCGAATGAGAGCACAAGAGCAGTATATAAAGTAGGGCCTGGGGAAGAGATCCATACTTACCTGGACGGGGTCTATTGGTGATCATTAAGGCCAATGGCCTAGGTTCGGCCTTCCCATTGCACATCGGCTTGGCCGGCCTACCATCTTCCCAAAGTGGAGGAGTGGACGTCGTAATTTGTGGAAGTTGAGGGCTCGCGTACGCGCGGCCCTCTCCAAATTTTAAGCTCTTAAGATGGCAGTAGTCTATCACAAACGATCCAATTACAAGGTTTAAGTATCAAACCTCAACACGATAGACCCTAGCAGCTTTCTCTGCGGCAGCCATTTCAGCAGCTATTCCTTCCTTGCTGGAGAAAGTGAAGGACACATCGTCGTTCTCGATGTAGCCACCAAAGTCACTCAAAAGCCTGTTCTTGGCTTCCTCTTCTGCTGGAGACTCCTCGGGGATGTGCTGATACAGGTGCCTGACTATGAAGAGCGCGGTGTCTAGATCGTGCCAGTAGTTCCTGTGAGAAGAAGCCAATGCTTATAAGCAAAGCAAGGAAGGACAAGAAATCAAAAGGAGCTTACGTGTGTGAACTAATCGCTGATATGTACTGGTGCTCGAATGTTGAATCCTGTTATCCACGCAAGACCTTTGTCAATGACGTGATAGTAGAGAGTAAGACTTACCTGTAGCATGAAGTCGACTCTACCATTGGGACTTCCAGACAGCCTTTCCATCACCATACTACCGTAGCTTCTCTCCTCTTTAGTGGGACTCTCCTCGTCTACTGCAAGATCATTCATAACTGCGTTAAGCAAACGCCAATGACACAAGAAGCATACATTTTCTATCTGAGCTTACAAACGCACTTGCGACGCGACTCTGAAGAAACGCTCAATATTAGTGTCGCTCGAAAGAAGCTGTGACACAAAACCATACCCCAACCGAAGCAATGGAGCTCACAAAAGCGCGTGAGCGAGCGCCCAGGTCTTCTCCAAATTCCTGCCAAGAACTTCCTTGAGCTCAAACTTAGAAAGCACGATGATTACCTGCATCCCAATATGTAGACGCTTGCCTCCTTTGTGGTATGGAATAAACTCCGGCTTCTTGTCGACGAAATCCTTCGATATCAGAGGTTCCACTCTGTAATCACGAAGAAAGGATAGATGTAAACGCTGCTAACACAGAAGTATATTGATACCTGTAAGCGACAGGATCATACGGGTGAAATATGTTCATCATTTGCCTGCATGCTGGCATTTCTTCTTCAATGCCTTCATCTTCCCAGTACTCATGACCCGTTCCTACACAAACGCATTCAATCTACGTTGCAAACTCCATAAATCACACACATACCCGATCCAAGGCGTACATTCCGGAGGCTGAGAAACAATCCCAGTGGCGATCCAACAGCGAAAAACGTGTCCACCTGCGAGAAAGAAACTTATCAACAGTGAAGAATCAAGCCACCATGGTGTACCTGAAACAAAAGTTTTGTGTATCGAATTTGAGGAGTATGGTATTTTCGAGAAGGAGCTCGCTCTCCTTGTTTCGTTCCCAATGCTGAGTTTGTTCCCAGTGACTTAAGTTCCTTTCTCAAGATCTCAACCTGCAAGCACGAGCTAAATCATATAGAAACGCCACAGGAGATCATACCTCTGAACGTAACGCCTTGACTCTCTCCGTCTCCGTGTCACTCTCAGTCTCAGCTTCTGTAGTCGTACTAGCGTCTGATCCTTCCTTGCTGCTGTCTCTTGAATCATGATCCGAAGAGTGACTGGGTTGCTCTGACTCCGGTGGACGTTCATTCTCTGCGTCGGCATTAGTAACACTCAAGTTTATCTCTTGAATAGGAAACATCGACGTCAGGGATTCCTGGTGGCATAGAATATCATATGAAAGAACGCTTCCAAGCGAGTGTCCATAGATCGATATCTAGCAAGAAATACAATGTAAACCATCACGCAAAAAAAAAAAAAAAATCAAGACTCGCACCTTGCCATTATATCCAGGATTACGTCGCATAAACTTCTCGTGTAATCTGTTTAGAGAGGAAGACACCTGAAAGTATCCATTAGTAAGAACACCACAAAAGATGTGAAGGAAATACTACTTACCGAATCGATAATGTCTTGGCAGTAAATCGGGCTCATATAATACAACACATCGTGCACAGTGGCGCCGATCATCGTACGTAGCGCTCTTACACCTTCTAAGGTGCAATTTTCGACAGCTGCTTCACCTCCCAGCTTGAGATGTCTTCTCCACTGCAAAGGCACATTAAAAAAAGCTTGTGAAATTACGGTGATGGCACCTGGCATGGGATGAAAAGAACACGCTGCGAGTGTCGCTGATATTTCGTGAGATGCTTCTCGGCTAGCATCGCAGCTGTGCGTCGAAATGTACCAACATCATCAACCAAATTGGCCTTCTCCAGCCTTTGGCCTATTCCGTGGACCATGAACACAAGGTGTTGTACAGGAACCTGTGCATTGAAGCTCAGAAAAGAACCAAAAAGAAAGAACCACTGGTCACCTCAGAGCAATAATCGTCCATCTCCTCCTCTTTTTTCTGCCGAAGCTCATCCTGCCCAAAGCCGAAGACTAGAGACTCATCGCTGTTTTGCGGCTTGCGGAAAAGTGACTTGCCTGGGAAAGCTGTGAGCCCGAGAGTATAAATCCTCGCCTCAGCTTGCATCCGGTGCCTTTAAGGCCAAGCACGGACGTGATTCCGGACGCATCCACGTTCAACCAGGCCTCCCAACTGTCCTCCTCGCCCGTAAAAAGTGCGTGAAGTCCCTGCAACAGCGGCATCATCGAAACCTCGTAAGCCGGAAAGCACAGCGGATACCTGAGTAGCACCGTGAAAATCCAAACGAGCAGCAAACTGGCCAGAAGGCTGAAACGAGCGTCTCAGCCATATCTGAGAATCAAACATGTCAGCAACTTTCTCATCTCAGCTTGAAATGAAATAACGGACCTTACTGCGATACCCGAATTCCAACTGTTCAGCTATGTCCTCCCGCAGTGGAAGCCAGTCGAGACTCCCTCGTTGAGCAAACCAATGCCCTCGCAATACTCGGCGATGCTCGCCACCCCAGTAGACTGGGAAACATCGCCTCGAATCCAGATCAACCTGTTAGAGAGCAAGAGCTTTTGAGATTCTCGCTGGATGGTTTTCACTTACTTCGTAGAGTCCACCTTTCACAGGGACGCCGACAGCTTCCTCGTAGAAATCCGAAGAGTGTCTTTGGAAAGCCTCTGGATCATGCCTCTTGGATTTCGATGGACCTTCGCTACACTCGGCGTATTCTTTCCACCACAAAGCCACTAGCTCCTCTTCTCTCTGGCAAAAGCGGAAGGAAAACTAAGCTCAAAGAACTAGACTGAAAAAACACAATCACCTCGAGATAGCTTTCTTCCAGAGACAAGGAATCGCGGACACTAAACCGGAAAAATTCACCCTTGCCGACGATCTCAGTCGATGGCACTGACGCAGCCGCCTCTGCATTGAAAGAGCAGTGATCAAAAAAAGAACAGCACGAAGAGATGAAAGAACGTACCATGAATACCAAGAGGTGTCTTGCAGAAGTACCATCTCACATCATCTCCATCGGATGGACTTGTGGTTTGAGCGACATACTTGGTGAAACAGGAACGCTTCCTTTCCAAACCATTGAATTTCCCTCTTAGAGGAGAAGAAAACCCCTCATCGATCTTCCCTGGCGGTGGAGATGGAGGTGGAGATGGAGAGGGAGAGAGCTCCTCCACAATCTCAAACCCCGATGGAATCTTCTCCTCCCCATCATCCTCGCGAAATGGGGGCGGACGATCGGCGGAATCCACCGATGCGCAGCTCCCAATCGCTCGATCAGCACCATCATCTTCACCAGCATCATCAAGCTTACAATCAATCGCTGGCACTGGCGCCGTAGCATCCTCCTCCTCGTCCGCATCATCGATGAGTGGAGGCGGGCGATCGGCGTCTCGATCATCGCTCCCCATGGAATTTTCACCTGGCTTGGAACCCTACTACTCAAATAAAATGGTATCTAGTTTCGATCAAAGTATATTCCATTTGAGGAGCAATGGCGGAGCCACGATCTTTTCCATTGCTCGAGCAGCGCGCTCGGCATCGCCATGGATCTCGCCAGCAGCCGGCAGGCATTGTCTCGATCATCCCTGACTGGATCTAATCCAATCATCCCCGGCCATGGCCCGCCCCTCTTCCAGCGGCCCGCTGCTGGATCGATTGCCCTCGAGCTTCATCCTGGTGAGAATCTAGCTGGCCAGACACCGGGGACAAAGGCCGCGATCACGGCGTTCCAGGAGACTAGATCCTGGCAAGGTCGAAGATCTCCCTCGCGCACCAGCTTCGGCGGTCTGCTCTCCCCCACAACCATTTCAGCTCCTCGCGCGCTCGCTCCTTCTACCCAAATCTTAAACCCTACCTAGGGCCGGCAGCCGCGATGATCGAGTTCCAGGAGATCACGTCCCCTCCAATCCATCAGACAAGCGGACAAGCGCTTGGCATCGCCCACGCAGTAGCACTTCCCATACATACCAATGATACCATACCGATCACACTGTTGGCCACCAGGAGCTTTCAGGAGCTCCGATTCCAATCCCAGCTCCACGGCTCTGGCATGATCTCCTGGCCTCGATCGAGATCACCCAAGTTAGCACACGTTTTCGCTGCGAGAATGAGCATGATCTTGTCAGGCATAGGATGCTCTGATCATCGCATTCCAAGAGACTGGATTCTTGTTCTTGATCCAGTGAAACACGCCTCTAGCCTTGTTGATCTGATCACATTTGGTGACGAGATTGTTGGCGACGATCAGGGCAGTTTGCCAATAGTGGGCATCAATAGGCAGATCTATTACGCCATGATTCTCGAGGGAGTGAGGCCTGAATTGCGTTGCCTTTCCAAGCGGGCAAGGCGATCCACAACTAAGGCGCCAAATCCGACGGCCCAGAAGACGTTCTTGCAATGGAGCAACATCTGGACCAGGAGGTTTCCTAGGAACGTTTGCTGCTGGCCAGGATGTGAGCATGGATGTATTGAGTGATTTGGATTTCTTGCATTTGTGGAGGAGTGTGGAGACATTGTTGTCAAGCTTGAGATCTTTGTTCCCTCATATTGATCAATTGGGGGAGCAGCCCACTCTATGTTTTTGGTAGCATGCCTTTAGAGATCATGCATTATTTCAACTTGGGTTTGAATGCATGTTGAGGATGCAGTTTTAGATTATAAAAAAATACTGTAGTCACTAAAAGTCATAATGAAGAGGAAAGCCAAGCTGAATTTAAAGTTTAAAGTTTAGGGTCATGAACAATGTTATATACATTCCTCATGTCCCATAGGGACTAATACAAAAACTAAATATGCCACCTTAAACTCATGGTATTTAGTTAAATTTAAAGTAGAAGTGGCTATCGTCATACCGTATTTAGGTCCAAGCCCTTCATGCAAACTGCAAGATCAATTCTAGGGGGTGCCATTTCCACCAAACCTCTTTCTAAGCACCATTACTGAAATATGGTAGTTATGTTCTCTACCACTCCTCTATCCACTTTGGCTTCCCCTTGTTTTGGAAGATAACATGGTGGAGCCATACTGCTGATAATGTAACTCTCCACCATTCCACCATCACCTATGATACCCTAACTGTATCCCATCAAAGTAAGCTTGATTACATGCTTTCCATAAGGCCTAGACCTTTGCCATATGCCATACCACCCATTGAGCATGGCCAAGAGCTTCCCATACAGGAACTCCTCCACCTCAATCATGTCTTAGCAGACTTGGACCCTTAGTTGTGTCGTCCTCTGCACATAATGTGTTGTAGGGCTGGGCCCTAGGCAAGACCTCTCACTCTCTCAAACCAGTGGAGAATATCTCTATTGTAGGCCTCAAACTCCTATGTAACTCCCAATTCCTTCATTGCCTTAACAATTTGTTGTTATACTTCCTTTGCAATATCACACTCCCATAATGCATGCATGACCATCTTGATCTTGCCACACTCCTTACACTTACAACTCACATCATCCTGAAAGCATTGTCTGACCAAGAGACTATTGTTAGCTACCAACCATGAGGTGACCTTCACTTTCTTTTGCACATGTAACTTCCAGAAGTGAATCATGTTGTCCACCATTTGCTCTACATCAACTCCTTATGCCATCCATTTTTGCCATAGCCTTGGAACTTCCTCCCATGCATGAACAATGTTTGGTGGCCATGGTTGGATCTTTGTGGATTAGAATTCACCCTCTACAAGCTTAAGAGCCACTACTTCTTCATGGAAATATGGATGGAAGTTGTGATCACAAAAATAAAATAAAGAACTTTTGGCCTAATTAATACAAATGTTAACACAAGAAAGAAATGTAAAACACCTCTCAAAAACTGTCACCAAATCTCTTAACAAAGAATATAGAATTAGATGAAATAAAATGTAAAAGAAACTTGAATAGCTCTACAACACTTTTATCAAAAGAAATTTCAAGAAAAACTCAAAGAAAGTCATTCATAAATTCATAAAGTGTGACAACAATATACTCTCGTCAAAAAAATATAGATCTTATAGTGTGGAATGCATAATATCTTGATACATAATGCATTACAAAGATTTTAATAATTCCTCCATTAAAATGAAACTAAAGATCCATTTCCACTACTTATAACCAAATGTGTGTAAGACTACTTATAAATTTCTCTCAAGATAAGCACAAAAAAGAGAATTGATGAAAATTGCTTAATCCCTGGCTGAATCACATATATAAGGAGTAAGAAAGAAGGTTACAAATAGATCTATCCATTGAGTGTAAAAAAAATCAAAATGGAGTAATTAATGTGTGATAAATACCCAAGGTTATTACTAGTGTGTTGCGGGTGTAAAATTAATTGCATGTAGTGTCTAGTGGGATAAATTAAGAATTTTTTTAATCTTAGGTGATAGTTCTCATATTTACATCTACAAAACTCTCATGAATTATTATGGATGAAAACAAATCAGTGCAATTGCTCTAAAAAAAGATAAATCATGATTTATTTCATTAAAGTACTTATTCAGTAAAATGGGATTGAGCCTATATGCCATTTTTTAGTAGTTAATTACTATTTAATTCAGTTTATTTATTTATTTATTTATATTGTAATACACAATCATATGAAATGTTTTATTTTATATTCTATAAAGCTTGTTATTTATAAAATGCTATATAGGCATGTGGTTTTCACCCTTTATCCTATAGTGTTTTACTATAGGATAATTATGAAACCTAACCCTCTATCTAACATACATCACGTGTCCATGGGCAATAGAGTGGAATTCAAGTTTCAGGGACTTGGGCCACTGAATGAATGGATGGAGCTAAACTCTCAAGTATAAATAACTAATTTTTTTCATTCTACTTTAGTCAATTAACTATATCTTTGACCACTTGGAAGAGTCTCACTCACAACCTTCATAAATTTTATTTCTAATTTGGGGACATGCTAGCCCCGTGAATGGCATATATACCACTCAATCTTTGCATTTGGTTTAAGTGCTTCATGTGTCCAGTCTCATGATAGACACCTCAAAGGTACCATTGGCATATCAACTTGTTATGCTAAAAATTATGTTCTTTAGAGGATAAGCAAAGCATGGTGAGTCTTTAGTGTTGAACCATTGATGAATATTAGCTTGGTACTAAGGATGAAAATAGTAATCCATGATAGGATTGCTTTATAGAATGGTTTATTATTTTATGAGAACATCAAACTTTGTTAATGGGTGGTAAAGTTGTGAAACATAAATCCCTAAGCCCCAAAGTGGAGTTGAAAGTGTGCCACATAATAGTGGTTAAAGCGGAAATCCAATGAGTGTAACAAGTTTGGATCAAAAGTTTAAACTTGGAAAGTCGAGAGCTGGAGTGGAACTCTAAACAAAGTGCTTAAGGAATGAGTACAAAGTGATTGATGAATGATTCTCTAGAAAGGGACACCAGAAGGACTAATATATAATAAGTGTTATGACACACAGAGTGTGAGAACCAAGTCCGAGATAGAGTCTAAATGGAGTTCAAAAAGAGTCTAAGAAGGAGTACAAGATGGAGTCTGAGATGGAGCCCAAGGTTGAATTCGAGATGGAGACTGAAATTACGCCTAAGATTGAGGCCAAGAATGAGACCTAGACTAACATCAAGTCTGAGTTTGAGTTTGAATCCGAGACCAAATCTGAGTCCAAGTTATGTGTAAATGACTAATTTTTGGACTTGGTCCAAGTGCTCCACATGTCTGATCCCATGACCGACACCCAAAGGTACCACCAAAATATCAGCCTGTTACACTAAGACCATGCTCATTCACCCTTATTATATTGATAGTCCAAGACCACCTGCATCATCATCCCATCTCTCAAAGACTAGGCCATCTGTCCATAAGTGGTCATCCTTTGACTACCCCTTAGCACCTTTAGGATGCCTAGAAACATGAGGAACACCCTTCCTAATATCCCTTCTTCCGTCTGTAAGCTCTTGACTTTGGACTTCTTGGGAAGTCATCTAGCCCAATACTATTTAAACCTACGATGCTTAACCCCAAATATCCCAAAACCCTTAACCAATTGGAAAAGAGGGTGCACTCTTATTCATGGGCCCTTTCCCTTTATATTTAAACCCCATGGATCGTTTCTCAAATTGTTCTGTTTGGTTGTTTACAATCCACTATGCTTCTTTGCAAGTTCACACCCTCATAAATGGAAGCTGAGACCCGCAACTCTCTCGAGAGCCCTGCTCTCTTGACACCCTACCCCTCAGATCGAGCCCAGCTGAAGCACACTAAATCTGCCAGATGTCAATCAACATGTGGTGTGATTCTCTAGCCAACCAATAGAGTTAAACTTGAGACCCCTCTAATACTAAATGTAAGCTCCTGAATTTAGACTTCCCGAAATCCCTTTAATACCAAATGTAAACTCCTGAATTTGAACATCCTGGGAGGTCACCCAACCCAGTACTATTCAAACCCAAAGACGCTTAACCCCAAATATGCCAAGACCCTTAACCAATTGGAAAAGGGGGTGCAATCTTATTCATGGGCCCTTTCCCTTTATATTTAAACCCCATGGATCGTTTCTCAAATTGTTTTGTTTGGTTGTTTACAATCTACTATGCTTTCCTACAAGTTCACGCCCTCATGAATGGAAGCTGAGAGCTACAGCTCTCCTGAGAGCCCTGCTCTTTTGACACCCTACCCCTTGGATCAAGCCCAGCCGGAGCACACTGGACCTGCCAGATGTCAATCAACATGTGGTGTGATTCCCTAGCCAACCAATAGAGTCAAACTCGAGACCCCTCTGATACTAAATGTAAGCTCCTGAACTTGGACTTCCCAAAACCTCTCTAATACCAAATGTAAACTCTTGAATTTGGA